CAACACCTGGTCCTTCCACACCAGGCCCCCCAGCTGTACCAACACCTGGTCCTTTCACATCAGGACCCCCAGCTGTACCAACACCTGGTTCTTCCACACCAGGACCCCCAGCTGTACCAACACCTGGTTCTTCCACATCAGGACCCCCAGCTGTACCAACACCTGGTTCTTCAATAACAGACCCCCCAGCAGCAGCAACACCTGGTCCCTCAGAAGCCCCAGCTGACACACTGGGAACATGCAAACAGCCACAAATCCAACATGCAGAGCAAAATTTAAAGAAAGACTTGACTCAAGGAGTTGTCACTAGAAAGCAAATTTATGTGCAGTGTCCTCATTGTAATTTGACAGTTAATAAGAAAAACTTGAAAATACACATTGAGAGAAGACACACGCTTCACGTTGAAGACATAACCGCTACACATCATTTAAAAGTGCAGCGTTTAGATAGACCAAACAGAATATATGCAGTCGCAAAACCCTTTCGTGGACCTCCCGCTCCTGTGCAGGTGGTGTTGACTGGAGGAAATGTTCGGAAGAAATTCATGCTCAGCACAGAAAGCCCTATGTAATTTCTGTCTGCCTTAGCTGCGGAGCAGAATTTAAAGACTGGTGCAGGTTTCTGGGGCAGTGGCAAAAGAGGACAGCTGAGATGAGGCTTCTACAGTGAAGCCATTGCTGTGGGGTACTGCACCCACTTTTGTGTCATGGATGCAGGGTCTAGCTATAGGATGTAGAAAAAAAGTCTTAAGCCTAGTTTTAAAACTGGATAATGTGTCAGCCTCACGGACAGAGATTGGAAGTTGGTTCCACAAGAGAGGAGCCTGATAACTGAAGGATCTGCCTCCCATTCTGTTTTTGTAAATTCTAGGAACCACAAGTAAACCTGCAGTCTGAGAGCACACAACACTGATTCAGGAATTCTTTTTTCCAGATTTCACATTTGTTATTCCCTTTAAACATATTCAGACAACATTGGATGCATCTGTGAATTATTTATTGGTTTATTGAGACATCCATTTTTAAAAGTCACCATACTGGAAACACAATTCAATTCATAGTACAATTAAGATGTTGCTAGTTGTTACTTATTGTAAGGGGAGAGTGAGGGTGGGCATCGCAGTAGAAAAGTTAGGGTCGGCTTGGGTTTCCTGAGCTGTCCCTTAGTTATGCTGCTGTAGGCTTAGACTGCTGGAGGACAAACTGACCACAATTTTCACTCTGCTACTGTCTTTACTTACTCTGCTCAACCTGCTTTGTATTTGTAATTATTTTTTCTGTCAACGTATTTTTTTTGTATTTTTTTTTTTGTATTTCAGGTACACCTGGACCTGCCATTCTGTTTGTTTGTCTCCTTGTCCTCTCAAACCAGCTGGTCAAAGCAGATGGCCGCTTGTCCTGAGCCTGGTTCTGCTGGAGGTTTCTTCCTTTTAAATGGAGTTTTTCTTTCCACTGTTGCCACTGTGCTTGCTCAGGATGGGAGACTGCAACGAAGCCAAGATTCAATTTGTCTGCTGGATTCCTTAGATAGAGAACTTTACTAATTGGCTTTTATGTGAATGTTCCTGTAAAGTACCCTGAGACAACTTTGTTGTGATTTGGCGCTATATAAATAAACTGAATTGAAATTTAATGTGGATGTACTGTAAAGTTTACTGGAGGTCTTGAAACAACTTTTCTGAGAACACAAAATATTTTTATCTTGCCTCTTTTGGCCAAGATGGCAGTTTGAAATCAGGCTGGCTGCTTACTGCAAAACCAAGAGTTAATTTTTTCAGTCATTTTTAGGCAGTCCTGATTTTTGTTGTTTTGCTGACGAAGCTAAATTTAATTTTAAACTGGATACATCTGATCTCATCATGCAGCATGGAAGCAACTGGGTATAGGTCTGAGAGCCAAAAGTGTGGTTATATACTGACTCCTGAATGTGCTTGTATTCAATTTTATGTATTTTTTGCTGCTCCTTTGTTTAATGTGGGAAAATCTGAAACATTGTCTTACAAACAAATGAGAACACTGGATCTTTAGGTAAGTTACATCAGCTCTTTTTTTTTAAATTGAAGGTTTCCGAGGAACGGCGTTATATCTCAGTCAAAATTTATTTGTCATTTGCACCATGTGGTGGAACAACATTGTGTACACAGGGTTCCAGTTACATCCAACAAAAGTATAAATTGTAAAGAAAAACTAATAAGATCTAAGATGTGAACTAAAATACACTAAAAAATGCACTAGTAGCACAAAAATATGCCGAACAGCAACATGAGTCTGAGCAGAAGAGTACAAATGAACAGCAGCATGGAATAAATCAATTCAATTCAGTTTATTTATATAGCGCCAAATCACAACAAAGTTGTCTCAGGGCACTTTACAGAAACATCCACATACATAAAAGCCAATTAGTAAAGTTCTCAATCTAAGGAATCAAATCAGCAACGTAAGATCAGCAACATGGATAGTCAGCAGCACATACAGGTCCTTCTCAACAAATTAGCATATTGTGATAAAGGTCGTTATTTTCCATAATGTAATGATAAAAATGAAACTTTCATATATTTCAGGTTCATTGCACACCAACTGAAATATTTCAGGTCTTTAATTGTTTTAATACTGATGATTATGGCATACAGCTCATGAAAACCCAAAATGCCTGTCCCAAAAAATTAGCATATTTCATCCCACCAATGAAAGACAAGTGTTTTTAATACAAAAAACACCAACCTTCAAATAATCATGTTCAGTTATGCACTCAATACTTGGTCGGGAATCCTTTTGCATGAATGACTGCTTCAATGCAGCGTGGCATGGAGGCAATCAGCCTGTGGCACTGCTGAGGTGTTATGGAGGCCCAGGATGCTTCGATAGCGGCCTTAAGCTCATCCAGAGTGTTGGGTCTTGCGTCTCTCAACTTCCTCTTCACAATATCCCACAGGTTCTCTATGGGGTTCAGGTCAGGAGAGTTGGCAGGCCAACTGAGCACAGTAATACCATGGTCAGTAAACCAGTTACCAGTGGTTTTGGCACTGTGAGCAGGTGCCAGGTCGTGCTGGAAAAAGAAATCTTCATCTCCATAAAGCTTTTCAGCAGATGGAAGCATGAAGTGCTCCAAAATCTCCTGATAGCTAGCTGCATTGACCCTGCCCTTGATAAAACACAGTGGACCAACACCAGCAGCTCACATGACACCCCAGACCATCACTGACTGTGGGTGCTTCACACTGGACTTCTGGCATTTTGGCATTTCCTTCTCCCCAGTCTTCCTCCAGACTCTGGCACCTTGATTTCTGAATGACATGCAAAATTTGCTTTCATCTGAAAAAAGTACTTTGGACCACTGAGCAACAGTCCAGTGCTGCTTCTCTGTAGCCCAGGTCAGGCGCTTCTGTTTCTGGTTCAAAAGTGGCTTGACCTGGGGAGTGCGGCACCTGTAGCCCATTTCCTGCACACGCCTGTGCACGGTGGCTCTGGATGTTTCTACTCCAGACTCAGTCCACTGCTTCCGCAGGTCCCCCAAGGTCTGGAATCGGCCCTTCTCCACAATCCTCCTCAGGGTCCGGTCACCTCTTCTCGTTGTGCAGCGTTTTCTGCCACACTTTTCCCTTCCCACAGACTTCCCACTGAGGTGCCTTGATACAGCACTCTGGGAACAGCCTATTCGTTCAGCAATTTCTTTCTGTGTCTTACCCTCTTGCTTGAGGGTGTCAATGATGGCCTTCTGGACAGCAGTCAGGTCGGCAGTCTTACCCATGATTGTGGTTTTGAGTAATGAACAAGGCTGGGAGTTTTTAAAAGCCTCAGGAATCTTTTGCAGGTGTTTAGAGTTACGTCATTGATTCAGATGGTTAGGTTAATAGTTTGTTTAGAGAACCTTTTCATGATATGCTAATTTTTTGGGACAGGCATTTTGTGTTTTCATGAGCTGTATGCCATAATCATCAGTATTAAAACAATTAAAGACCTGAAATATTTCAGTTGGTGTGCAATGAATCTGAAATATATGAAAGTTTCATTTTTATCATTACATTATGGAAAATAATGACCTTTATCACAATATGCTAATTTTTTTTTTGAAGGACCTGTATAAACATTCAAGTGGCTTACAGTGATTTTTTTTTTTTTTACAGTAATTATTCTGGTTAGATATTCATGAGTCTAACACTCTCAGGGTAGAAGCTGTTCCTCAGTCTGGTGGACTGTCGACGAGGAAGAGGGCCGGCACCAGAGGAGGGGGCATGCCAAAGACACCATCTTAGCACCAACATAACTGGTTTGTTCCACTTTGGAGTAAGCTGTTTGGGGGAAGAATCAGTTTTGTGTTGTGTGTTTCCTTGACTGATGAAGCCTTCTGGATAGAAGGTGAAACGTTTCAGAAAAAAAAAAAAAAACGATAAACTGTCCAGATGACCTGACTGAAAAATGTTGGATAAAACAAAATTAATTTTCCTTCTTGTATGTCCCTTTTAAACAACAACAATAAAATGGAAACATTAAAATCAGGTTTTACGATGTATGATCCCACAAAGTGAGTTTTGATAAGTTTCTGCTCCAGTCTTTAGACTGTGGATCAGCTCCTCTCAGCTGTGATTGAAACACTCCATCTGATTTGATGTTTGCTGTGGCTGCAGCTGTTGGTGGCCCTGGACGCCCTGCAGGATCTCGGTGTCCTGCACACTGATATTAAACCAGACAACGTCATGTTTGTTGATTTGATCAAGCAGCCTCTTCGGGTCAAACTAATAGACTTTGGTAAAGCCATCCCAGCCTCCCTGATCCATCCTGGACTGACTCTTCAGCCAGTTGGCTACAGGTGGATTTAGCCTCCATGCTTCAGTTTTGAATGTGGATGAGCTGTCTGTTTAAACCTTCATGTTGGTCCTCAGAGCATTCCAGACAATTAACCATGTTCCTGTCTTTGTCCTCCTCAGGGCTCCAGAAGTGTCCCTCGGCCTCCCCTTCACTGCAGCTGTAGATGTGTGGGCCAGTGGCGGCTCCAGAAATATTTTTCTGCAGGTGCTAAGAGGGGGCTAAGCATTTTACTGAGGGTGCTATGAAGGATCATTTGTTCTTTCAGTTCTCAAGGTCAAGGTGTCTTTACTGTCAGTCACATCACACGTGGTACATGAGGTGGAACGAAACTATGTACACACAGGGTCCCAGTTACAGCCAGCAAAGTAATTGCAAAGAAAAACAGTAATACAATCTAAGACGTGACCTAAAAAATATACTAAACTAAGACTATACTAAGCACTAGTGTTAAGAGTTTGTATACTCATGTTGTATTATGTGCTTTTGTATATATTGTTTATTATTTAGAGGCATGCTTTGTTTTCACCAGTGTGGTGGCAAAGAGCCGCTCAGTAACGAGCACGTCACCACACATCTGTATCATGATATAAATTGCCTCGGATAATGTTTGTATCACTAGAGTCTAGACGCTTCACTTCTGCTCACTTGAATGTTCGTCACTCTGCCTCTGCTACTTGTACGTGCATGTGCTCATGCTCACACGATGCTTGTAGGCCTCAGAAGCCACTGTATGTGTCACTGGGAATAAAAGATGCTAAAAAGGAGGAATGCCTCTCTACTACTTCATACCTCGTACTCTACGCAGACGACGCTGCAAATCAACAACTAATGGTACAAAACTATGCGCCAAACAACAGCAGCACAAACATGAGTCTGTGTGAACACAGCAGCATGAAATAAATTAGCAGCATGAGATCAGCAGCATGGATAGTCAGCAGCAATCAAGTCAACAACCAAGTGGCATTACAGTGATTTTTTTCACAGTAAAACAAAGATCATTATTATTCATGGTCACACTTGTTAATCAAATAAAACAAACTTGAAAGATGATTTGTTTTTCTTAAAAGCATAGGAAGAATAAGAAACATTAGTCAGACTGTAGCTGACTCTGTGTCCAAGGATGAGAAATGTGTAGAAAAACATCAGTCAGACATTACTGAAGTCAAAAGTAACTTCATGGTTAGTCTGGAAGATGAATAAGGGTCAGGGGTCACAGTTAGAGGAGTGCAGCTTCATGCTACAAGCTGTTCCTTAATGCTCCTCAACCTCCTGCCTGAGGGGAGCGGGGCAAAAAGTGTGTGTGCTGGGTTAGAGGGGTCCTTCATGATGCAGGTGGCCCTCTTCCTGCATCTGGAGGTGTAAATGTCTTCTTTCTTTTTCAGCAGCCGGCCAACCTGGTGCAGCTCTGCTGACAAGTTCTCCTTGGTAACTCCCATGACAGGCCATGGGCAGTATGCATCTTTTGGTTAAGAACGATGAGTGTTTGGGGCTTAGAGCTGGCAAACCTTTCAGTATTTCATTTGTTTCTGAAGAACAAGGAAGTTTCAGTTCCATTAGCATCCTGTCTAAAACAGGATAGAACGACTGTGTTTTTAGGCCATCCATGCTGTCTGCACCTTTTCTTTCTATCGGGGCATCCACAATAAAAGGCTCTAAGTGTGTATTATGAAATTAATAGGGGTCGTGAACGATCGGCACCAGATATTCAGACAAGAGGAAAAATGAGACACAAGGAGACTGTTTTCTGCTAGAAATAATAGTGTCATTTATTAATCTGCCACAGAAAAACAGCCAAGCAAAAACATGTACACTTGTACACTCTTAACACACAAATTGATATGAGAGCCTCTCACCGTGACACGTGGTCGGGAAGCCGTTTCGACCCGGGTAAACAGGAATCACATCAAAACTGCGCCGGGCACTCACGCGCGTTGGTCCACAGCAGACTTCAGATTTTCTCACAATGTTGTGCTTCTTAAATACCCCTCCCTGACCGGATCGCGTGAGAGCAGTGAAAAACAAGTTTGATGGTTGTCAGGAGGACAGATCTAATTAAAACATGTTTTTCCATCATCAAAGCAGTCTGTGCAACAGAGCGATGGCTTCATAAAAACATGTCCTTCAAACCCTGGGTCACTGTAACCTTAAGATGGGCCAGATCCCTGGTTAGAGCATCCCCCGGAGGACTTTAATTACTCCAAAACACATCTACAGCACAGGCCTGACTTCGGACAGATAAGCTGCATCAAAAGTGAGTATAAGTATTAATTGACATAAAAGCATCAAAATAATCATTCCTATATCATTCCACCCTTGCCTTTTATGGCAATTTAGACATTTAATTCTGAAAAGTAACACACACAAAATATATATGTTTGAATAGGCATAAAGGCAACTTAATATATTTTTATAAAACATATTTTTATATCAAGGTGTTTAGCTGTTTGTCTGCCTTTTCTGTCATTGGATAGTGTCTGCTGCAATTCCCGTTTTGATGCAAAGCAAAGGTCTTTTGCTTCTGTTCTGAGTCTCTCCCATTTTTCATCTGTGTGTTGTTCTGTTATAGCAGTGATTACAGAATGAGCCAGGTTATTTGCTGCTACTAGACCTAAATTAGGACACTGTAGCTGATCAGACATGAATTTGGTTGTTCTGAAAATATCCTCAAAAGTTGTAAGATGCAGAACAAACTTCTCATCTATAAGTCCACTGAGAGCTTTAGCCTCTGTCCTACGTTTCGCATCTTTCTGCTGAACGTTGCGCAATGTAGCCATAACTGCTGGGAGTGTTTCTTTGACGGCGTGTATGGACTCACACTGGCATGCCCAGCGGGTGTCACCAAGTCTCTTGAGTTCAATGCATGTCTTACTGACACAAGTTCCTCCTGTTTCTTCAGAAAAAGATCATGAACAACCGACTCAGAAAAAAACTTGTGAAGCATTTGCAATGTCTCAAAAAAAATCTGCTGCGGCATCAACATTATGTACACAGTCTACCAACACGAGATTCAGCCTGTGAGCATGGTAGTGAATGTACAATGCTTGCAGCACCTAATCCTTCTGCTGGTGTGAAATGTAAAAATTCCTCCACCACTTTCTCTGAATCTGGCTGCAAATAGCGAACGATCACAGAAATGTGTTATTTTTCGCTTATATCTTTACTTTCATTTAACAAAATAGCAAAATGTTCAGCTTCCTTCACCTCCTTGCTGATTTGTTTTCTTATCATTTCAGCCATTACATTAAAGATCTCATTCTGTATATTGTGGTGAACGTACTTAATTTGGATTAGTGGTCAACTTCTGTTGGACCGTGGAATAAAATTTTCCAATGATAGCAACTCACAGAAATTGCCTTTGTTGGCTGAATCACCATTCTCAATATGACCATGCTGTGTGATTGTGTAGCGCAAACTTTCTACCACACACATCATGTACCTCTGGTTCTCCTTAACCAGCGCCGAGTGTCCTTTATCACCGGCGTCAAGTGAGCCTTTATCGAACATGATGGGATTTAAGCCATTTGTTTCTTTTAACTTGAATTCACTCCATGCCTCCATTGCAAATTTCTTTCATGATGTCTCTTCAACGATGCAACTGCTTTCCGCCAATTATTAAATCCGTGAGCGGTAAATGCTGGCTCCAGGTGAAATCTGTGTCCTCCTTCTAGTAAATGCCAACAAGCAAAAACACAGCATCTCTACCCACGCTGTATTCCAACCACAAATATGAATCGAGCCTGCCTTTATTAAAACTTCTCTGTTGCACTCCAAATAGGCTTGGCGGGTATTTTTGCAGAAGTGGTCGTCTTGGTCCATTTTGAGGAGTTCTGCTTAGATCGTCCAGCTGTCCAGCGCCAGCAGTGTTAGTATTCTCCACAGATGTAGAAGGATGGCGGTACCTTGATCACCTTCTTCCAAATTATTGTTTCTTTGTTGGTCGCAGTCTGCTTCCAAAAAAAAAAAAACAACCTCCTCCTCTGATTCCATCCTAGGAAATTTGGGTAACAGAAAACAATCCATTTTTGCATTTCGTGCACTTTTCAAACGTTTATTGGAACTTCCGGTCCGGAAGTGAAAATTCAAGTTCACTTCCTGTTGCGAGTTCGGATTTCTTTTTTTTTTTTTTTTTTACTCAAAATCATTGATTGTTTTATTTTTTATTTTTTAATTAGTTGTGTTTTGCGAGTAAAATATCACACCAACCACATATTAAAGAATATTAACTTAGATGAAAAAGAAAATAATCGGATATTTTCTTGGGGTTCTACGAGGTTGTCGTGACTTTTCCAGGGAGAGATATAGCGCCCCCTAGCGTCGCTCTGGCGCTGAGGCACAGTCTACATTTGATTTTTATTGTTTAAACATGAATACATATGTAAAAAAAGAAATGAAACTGGGACTGTCCCCGTTTCTTAATTTCGTCCTAATAACATTTTATTTTTTTTTGTCTCTGATTTGGAAATGTCCCCAGATTTAACTCCAGAAATCTGGTCACCAGGAGCAGACCTGTGCCTTTCTCCTTTCTGAGTTTCTGGCATCGATTCGTCGTGCCTGTTGCTACAGTGGCTGGCCGCTCTGCTGCTTCATCACATCTGCTTGAACATCGACTGAGCTGCTTCTCTACTGCATCCTCAGCTTAGCGACCTAAACGAGTCTTCGTCCTAGCAATGTCTGAGGAAGAAATTAAGTCTTTGGAAGAACAACAGGTACATTTAAAACGGCAAGCTAAAACACCGAATTTTAATGTGGAATAACTGCAGGCGGCACGCGCTTTGCTAGTTAGCCGGTAGCTAATATTGTCTGATTTCTTCATATCATTGCTAAGCTAATTTGCTACTATATGTTATCAGTGAGAGGATATTGGATCATTTTGGGGGCAAAAATGACTATTTATTAGACGGTAAGTACTGATTTAGCCATTCATGCTAACTTAGGTTGCTGCTGCTTGTGCAAACAAAGTGAGTTTGCCTCGGTGGTGACGGTGCAGAGCTCCTGTGAAAATGTATACAATAATATCGTAGGTGGTTTTTGACTCATTAGAAAAACAACCATCGTTTAGGTATTGTTTGGACACTGTCAACACACATTATTCTGATGCCAACAGGAAATGCAGGACAAAGTCATCAGTCCAGAGAAAGAAGAGGAAGCTAAGCTAAAGGCCAGATATCCTAATCTAGGAGCCAAGCCTGGGGGTTCTGACTTCCTCAGGAAAAGACTTCAGAAGGGGGTGTGTTTACTCATCTAAACATTTCTTAATTTCAAAAACAACCAAGCTTGCTGAATTCTCACTTTTGTCATCTTTTGTCCAGCCAAAATATTTTGACTCCGGCGACTACAACATGGCCAAGGCAAAAATCAAGAACAAGCAGTTGCCATCAGCCCCAATGGAAAAGACTGAGATCACAGGAGGACACATCCCAACACCTCAGGACCTGCCTCAAAGGAAGACCTCGATCGTAGCAAGCAAACTAGCTGTCTAACAATTTTGTGTTCATAGTTTTCCTACCATTCCATCCACCATTTTACAATTACTGTACCTGTTTTTTGTTTTCGTTTACCCTTGTCCAAATTCCATAAGAACAATTTGATAATAGTTGTCATGAGCTAAACTGTCGAGAGAAAAAACCTGACAAAACTGAAAATGTTGAAGATTTTAATAGTGTAATTACTAAGATTGGAGCACAATCTAAAATCAATAATTAACAGTTTCCAATTTTAAGCATCTCTATTGCCTCCATATTAATTAATAGTCACAATTTATCAGTGATAATCAGAACAAAATGGGATACATTTAAATTGTAAATGTGTAATTTAAAGATCCTCTTTAAATGGTTCCGGGGTTTACCTACTTATTCAGAGGCATGTTTAAATTATTAAAAAAATTAACTTTTTTTATTGTTCCTTTTGAACTTTCTTTTTGTAGCTTTCTTACATTGTTTTTATTTAATTATGTGCTTTCAAAGTATGGTAGACTAGATAATTCATGCTTTGTAGCCAGTTGTGTTCAGTTCATGTTCAGTTCAGCATTGATTTACAATGAAATGCTGCTGGTCTTCATCTCATCCTGACCTTTAAAATGGCCTTAAAAGTAACAAACTGTTGTTCCTCTTGAGCAATATTTGCTCCCTCAGTGGAAAATCTTGGTTATGAATTTTGCCTGGCATGTCTTTTGCTGTTTGACTGAATTTGATTTGGATTTTATGGGGAAGAAATTACCAGGACAAGTCTGGAGTGTGCATGTGCATTTCCTGTGTAGTTACGCTGTGCCATTTGTTTTATAATTAAAATAGTTTTGCATAATTTATTTTCACTTGAATGTTCTGAATTATTTTTCTCTTGTTTTCTTTGGACCAAATTTAAATTCAGTAATCTTAACCCAACTGTATCGATTTAAATAATTCATTATGGATCAAACGTCTCTGTCAAGGTTCTTGAGCGTGATCAGAAAAAAAATTGTTGATAAAAATCTGAAATGCGGGAGAGTATGAGAGCCTGTGAGAATAGCATTGTTGTCTACATTAATTTGTTAAAACTAAAAGGTAAACAACCATACAATTTATACCAACAAAGTCCACGCTCAATAATCCAGGTATACAATGCAACAATTTTCAGTCAGGTCTTCTGGACAGTTTTGTTTCTTTGTGCTGTTTCACCTTCCATCCAGAAGGCTTCATCATTGAATGGATGGAAGGTGAAATGTTTCAGATGACCTGACTGAAAATTGTTGGATTGTATACCTGGATTATTGAGCATGGACTTTGTTGGTTTTGAACCAGTTTGGCATGACTGTCGACGAGGAAGAGGGCTGGCACCAGAGGAGGGGGTGTACGAAAGAGACCATCTTAGCACCAACATAACTGGTTTGTTCCACTTTGGAGTAAGATGTTTAGGGGAAGAATCAGTTTTGTGTTGTGTGTTTCCTTGACTGATGTCGCCTTCTCGATGGAAGGTGAAACGTTTCAGCACAAAAAAAGAAACTGTCCAGATGACCTGACTGAAAATTGTTGGCATACAATTTATAGTTTTTGTGGCCCCAAGGAATTTTTTTTTATCCCACCTTATGTTTAACAGTTTATTTGTGCTTTTTGCTTGAATAGTCAGGGTGGCATCTTTTGTCATTGCCAAGACAAACTGCTGACTCAAAATTGCAAGAAGACGATTTCTTTAGTAGAATTCATTGAATTCTGTTAGTTTTCAACTATCAAACCACACGGCCTGGTTTTAGGCAGCTGTCCATCCATTATCCTCTGCTTGTTCTGGAGTCCGGTAGCGGGGGCAGCAGCTTGAGCACAGTGCTTTGACATTTTTTCACATCCACCTCTTCCAGTTCTGGGAAAATTCCAAGGTGCACAGGCCAACTGAGAGTCCTCCGTGTTACCAGGGTCTTCTTCTAGTTGGACATGTCTGGAACACCTTAGGGAGGCACCCAGGGAGCATCTTAATGCGTGAACCACCTCAACTGGCTCTATGGGGAGAAGCGGCGGCTCTGCTCCGAGTCTTTCCTAGATAACTGAACTTCTCACCCTATCTAAAGAGCCCTGCACACTCCATCTGAAGCTGCAGATCGGCTCACATTGACGTGGCTGCATGATGAAAATGGCGTCATTTGGTTACACCCGCCCCTTCTCGACACAAGACCCGGGTTGAACCTTTTCTCCCAGGCGCATGCACAAAGTATTGTATGATTAGGCCGAAGTTTGTGGGTGTGTTCGTATATGTGGAAAAGCACTGTTACATTCATCTGAACCACTCTTCAAACACTAAATTAGTCAAACGGCAAAAAACTCCTGGATGGAAATCATGCAGACGCGCACAGTATGGAGGAGTCTGCTGAAAAGTGTGGCGCTTTCTTCATGATAGATTTGTGGCCAAATGATGGATGCAGGGATGTTGTGGAAACCCTAGCAGGAAGAAACCCGTGCAGTGACGTATTTAGCAGTGGAAGGGGTTTCCTGGGAGCTTTGCACCGTGAGTCTCGCAGACTATGAAAGGAATGTGCAAAAACGAATGTCCTGCGGTCGACAGTTTCAGATGGAGTATGCTGGGTCCTTAAGGGTGAGCTACCAGATACCCTGTGGAGAAAACTCATTGACCACTTGTATTCACAGTCAGGTTCTTTTGGTCACTGAGGGTAGGAACACAGCCGGTTAACAGAGAGCTTCGCCTTCAGGTCCCTTTTCACCCCAGCAGACCGGCACAGGGTCTACAATACTTTGAAAGCTGCACCAAGAAACTTGAACTCATCCTTTGGAGGCAGCACCTCACTTCCAACCCAGGGAAGGCAGTCCACCATTTTCCATAAGGAAACCAGGATTTGATTGTGCTGACCTCCATCCCAGCTGCTTCACACTTGGTAGTGAACTGCTTTAGAACTGGAGATCATGACACGATGATGAAAGAGGACCACATCATCTGCACATACAGACGGGATCTTAAGGCTACCGATCCAAACGATTTCAACCCTTTCTGAAAATTAGAGTCTATTGTGTGCATAGCTTCCAAAACTGCTCTAGACCGTGCACATGATTTAGTTACTCACTTCTGCAGTATCGCTTCAGTCCGCTTTGTACCAACTTGAGCAACCATTATGGAAACTGAATTAGGAAGGGTTAAGAGTCACAAATATTTTATTTTAATTCTGAACTCACTAAAGGAAGATGAGAACCCTGGTGAACTTTCCAAGACATTTTAGACTTTTTTTTTTTTGCAAATGCTATCTTGTCACCAACCATCTCAGCAGTGACACTGGCTTTGTTACGAGATTCAAAACCACATTTTTCTTCCAATTCATGTCCATTTGTTAAAACAAGTGATGACATACATCATATGCATTTAAACAGTGTGACAACGTGTTCCCCATAGAATTTACACAGGATTATGTGTGAGAATGAAAAAAACGTCTAAACAAAAAATGACTGAACAAAATTATTATGAAAGTGTCATCACTTTTAATTAGCAAGGCTGACATTAAGTTTGACATGAATGGTGAAAAAAATCTAACCCTGTTTTGTAAAGAGTCAGAGAATCATTAAATGTTTAGATGACAATCGTTAGATGACATCAGCTTTCTTGTAAAAAGTTTTATTGTGTTGAAAGTTGGGAAAATGCATATAAAACAAATCTAGACCCACTAAATAAACTTTAAAAAGCTACCAGAATAATACACAACAAGAAAAACAGCTAATCAGCAATTGTGTTTAAAATCCTTAAACATTAAAGTTAATTATGCTTATAATGATGTTTATTGTAAAGATTGTGATGTATTTAAGATCAGAGAGGCGATTTAGTGAGTTTGTTAATTTTGTTTAGATTAAAATAAAATTGAGCTTTTTCTTTTTGTATATGTTTTTCTTGTTTATTATTAGTGTGTTCTTAGAACGACATGTGAGACGTGCACATTTATCAGCTAAGGCCTCGGCCTTCGCAGTTTGTCAGATTGTTTGTATTTTTTATTTGTGACTCTGGCAAAATGAGTCACAGTGAGGATTTTTTCCAATTATGAGTTATTATTTTCAAATTATCCATCTCAAGTACCTAAAAATGATAGTTTGTTGAAATTTTGTTATTTATCACCAACAAGCTAGTTTTGTTAATGAGAGTGCAGATTTGAAAACTCGGTTTTTATTGGTCTACTCTAGGATGATGTTATTGGGAATTCTAACACTTATAAAAAGTGAAAACCCAAAGTTTCACTGTTTTGGTTAAACATTATGTGAAGAGATTTCCCTGCACTACGACAGCTGGCAAAGAAAAGTGGTCAATTTTAAAGGTAATAAAAAAAACCCCATTATTTTGAAGGCATACATTTTAGAAAATTTTGATTTGAAGATAGATTTGGAAGAGTATATGTTCTTTTAGTTACTGAGATCTCTGCACGGTCTGAACTGGGGTTTGGCCTGTTCAGTTGTACTAACATCATTTTAAATGTAATTTCAAAATAAAACATAATTTTTTTTATTCATTCAAGAGAACTTGGAAAGCATGCCTTTAAAAAAACAAATGTTTTTTTTTTTAACAATGCCATTGAGGTTTAAAACAGTATTATGTTCATGTGAAGCCAAAGTATAACGGAGCTTTAGGGCCACGCTAAGAAAAAAAAACTTAAAAGCCATAAAATCACGAGAATAAAGCCGCAGTATTATGAGAATAACGTTGAATAAAGTCTTAATGTTACAAGAATAAAATCGTACAATACTATTTTTTTTTACAGCTCTCGTTTATTTATTTATTTATTTATTTCCACGAGTCAGATCCACAATGCAACCTGTCAATCAATCCAGTAGGCGTGTCAGCAAATGACCAATCTGAAGCTAAATGCTCCTTACCTGCAGAGCTGCGCTGCAGCCCATCAGAGTGTACCACCTGCAGATTCAAAGTCCTGATACTGATAATAATCTGATGCTGATGTGCTGACAGATTAACTATCTCCTTATTTGTAAAACCAATACCAAAGTATAACTTAACAAGATGCTCAACATTCTTCATTTTACCACAGTTAAAATGTGGTAAACCTGCTGTATCGTGTCGAAGTTCTGATAATATTACGACTCATTTAGCTTCAGATTGGCCATTTGCTGACAAGCCTACTGGGTTGATTGACAGGTCGGTGTGGATCTGACTTGTGGAAACAAAAACAAACAAACAAACAAAAAAAAACGAGAGCAGCAAAAAAAACTTGTACAACTTTATTCTTGTAATATTAAGACTTTATTCGACTTTATCTCGTATTTTTTTGGCTTTTAATTATTTTTTTTTTTTAGCGTGGCCCTAAAACCAAAGTGCTATTTTCCCTCTTGTGTAGAAAGAGGCGTTTATGTGCAAATTTAGTAAAAGTGGAAGCACTTCATGGCGCTATTGGTTTTCCACCGAGGTTAGCCGGTTATGATTTCTGACCGCAGGGAGGCGCTGTTGAGCCGCTTCAGCTACAGAAGCGGTCTGAGCATGCGCAGTTTGACTGACACGCTGCCAGCTGAAACTGAATCCTCAGGCCGGCAGAGCGCCGCGAGTTGAGGAGGGGAGAGCTGAGAAGTTTCTTTCTGTGGGAGTCTGCAACATGTTTTATTCTGCTCTCTGGGGGCAGAAGACGTCTCTGAAGACCCGCGGTACATTTTAAAAGACATGGCAGCCTCTGAACTTTACTCCAAGGTAGGGAGAAGCTGATAACAAGCTGGTCAAGGTTTCTATTAACCTTCTACCTTTAGTTTGTCAAACTAACTGCTCTGATTCATGTCTATCTTTTAGCTCTCATAATTATAATTTACAACTTCTTTAACGTTATTTTATCCACATTTACCGCATGGCTTCACTGTCTGCAGCTCATTGTCACTGATGTTAAGAGCAGGGCTCTGAACAACTCTAATCCGGTCTCTCCTTCTTGCAGAAGGCCCGTGTGTGGCTCCCAGATGCAGCAGAAGTGTGGAAGCCAGCAGAAGTTCTCAGAGATTACTCTCCAGGCGACCTGACCCTGTCTCTGCAGCTGGAGGATGGCACGGTGAGACAAAACCCCACACAATGAAGTATGCACAAAGTCACAGGGGGATTGTTCCACAAGCAAAAGGCTTATGATGCTCACCTACTGACATGCACAATATTTCTTAGCAAAACCTTAAATTTACATGTTATGACAAACCATTCAGTTTGATGGTATGTATATGCTGAAAAACAAAGACAAACAGCTGTGTGCAGCTCTGCAAACTGAATATTAAAAGTTTGCTATGTTCAAATAGCTGTCAAGCTCAGCTGCTACCTCTAGGTATTATGTCGAGTTTGGACACGCACCTCAGGTATGGAAATAAGGCTGAATTATTATCTTGAGTGAGCATGAACAGACCAAGCACAGAGAACATTTTGTTTAACTTCAACCTAAAGTAAAGTAAAATATACTTATGTTGCTTTTGTGTCGTTTTTCAGTTTGTTTGTTTTTTGTCCAATTTGAAGCAATTATTTAAAAACGATATGACCTAACAGATACCTGGTTTGCATTTATTGCAGAAAGTGGAGCACAAAATCGACCCCCGAACGAACAACCTGCCACCTCTCAGAAACCCGGACATCCTGGTGGGGGAGAATGACCTGACAGCTCTCAGCTACCTTCATGAACCAGCGGTGCTGCACAACCTTAGAGTGCGTTTCATCGACTCCAGGCTTATTTACACGTACTGTGGTAATGAGCTTCGTCTCCTTTGACTCCCATTATCACCGTCACTGTAGACTTTGAAGCCTCACTCACTCTGTATGCTGACATAATCTCTGTATGCTGACATAATCTCTGTATGCTGACATAATCTGCAGTAACACTAAGCTGATGATTATGATACGTCTACTTTTAAAGGGAACACAATACAAACATAACACTAAGAGTAGAGGTACCTTTTATAAGAAGACAACAGTCACAATCAGTATTTACCACAAGCAAAGCAAAGCCTGGTTGTGCTACTTTTTCTTAAGGAGATCAACAGATTTGTCCCTTTAGAAGTTCAGTCAGCCATAAAATTGTGCGGATATGTTGGAAAAATGTAATTGTTTTTCTCTGTCGATGACTGGATGGATGGATGGATGTGCGTCTGATCCCCTGAGGGAGGTATTTCTTGCCATGGCAGCAGGTAATAAAGTGGCATTAGTCAGGAGTCAAACCTAGTAGGTGTGCTGTAAAATAAAACAAGTTCTAACAAAACAGATAAATAAATGAACATGAAATAGAAATTTAAGTCTTTAAATTACTGTCTGAAAGCGAGCGGCGAATTACCGTATTTTTCGCCATATAAGTCGCACCTTTTTGCATAAATTTGCAAGTCCTGCAGCTTATACACCGAAGCGACTATTATAAGTTTTTTCCCATATTTATAACCAATTTTTGGCTGAGATCTGACGATTTCATTAATTCTGACATGAAAAATATTAAACACTATTGCAGTCACTAGAGGGCCCTCGACTAATATGGCAAGCCAAATGTCTCATTAATAGGCAAAAGTGGCTATTAATGAGACACTTGGTTTGCCATACAGAGTCACCTTCATCTCGCTCCAGAACTCCTGGAGCAAACGTCAAATCAGCTGCGTTTCGCTGCACCGCCCAGGAGAAATGCAGTTGATTTGACCTTTAAAGTGCATTTATTAAGGAAAAGTTCAACAGAGACACAACTTTACTATAATTCTGAGCAAACAAATAATTGTTTTTAAATGTTAATCCACAAACCGGATTCTAAAAAAAGTTGGGACAATAAACAAATTGTGAATAAAAACTGAATGCAATGATGTGGAGGTGCCAACATCTAATATTTTATTCAGAATAGAACACAAATCACAGATCAAAAGTTTAAACTGAGAGAATGTATCATTTTAAGGGAAAAATCTGTTGTTTCCAAATTTCATGGCGTCAACAAATCCCAAAAAAGTTGGGACAAGTCCATTTTTACCACTGTGTGGCATCCCCCCTTCTTCTTACAACACTCAACAGATGTCTGGGGACAGAGGAGACCAGTTTCTCAAGTTTAGAAATAGGAATGCTCTCCCATTCATGTCTAATACAGGCCTCTAACTGTTCAATCGTCTTGGGCCTTCTTTGTCGCACCTTCCTCTTTATGATGCGCCAAATGTTCTCTATAAGTGAAAGATCTGGACTGCAGGCTGGCCATTTCAGTACCCGGATCCTTCTGCTACGCAGCCATGATGTTGTGATTGCTGCAGAATGTGGTCTGGCATTATCGTGTTGAAAAATGCAGGGTCTTCCCTGAAAGAGATGGCGTCTAGATGGAAGCATATGTTGTTCTAGAACCTGAACATAGTTCTCTGGTGCCTTTCCAGACATGCAAGCTGCCCATGCCACAAGCGCTCATGCAACCCCATACCATCAGTGATGCAGGCTTCTGAACGGAGCGTTGATAACAACTTGGGCTATCCTTGTCCTCTCTGGTCCGGATGACATGGCGTCCCAGTGTTCCATAAAGAACTTCAAATCGTGACTCATCTGACCACAGAACAGTCTTCCATTTTGCCACACTCCATTTTAAATGACCCCTGGCCCAGTGCAAACGTCTGAGCTTGTGGAGCTTGCTTAGAAATGGCTTCCTCTTTGCACTGTAGAGTTTCAGCTGGCAACGGCGGATGGCACGGTGGATTGTGTTCACTGACTATGCTTTCTGGAAGTATTCCTGAGCCCACTCTGTTATTTCCTTGACAGTGGCATTCCTGTTTGAGGTGCAGTGACGTTTAAGGGCCCGGAGATCACGAGCATCCAGTAGAGTCTTACGGCCTTGACCCTTACGCACAGCGATTGTTCCAGAGTCTCTGAATCTTTTGATGATGTTATGCACGGTTGATGATGATAACTTAAAAGTCTTTGCCATTTTACACTGGGTAACACCATTCTGGTATTGCTGCACTATCTTTCTGCGCAACAATGTTGGAATTGGTGATCATCTTACCATCTTGGCTTCTGAGAGACGCTGAAACTCTGAGAAGCTCTTTTTATACCCAATCATGTTGTCAATTGACCTAATTAGTGTGAATTGGTCTTCCAGCTGTTTGTTATATGCTCAATTTCCTTTTTCCAGCCACTTATTGCTACATGTCCCAACTTTTTTGGGATTTGTTGACAATGTGAAATTTTGAATCAACATATTTTTCCTTTAAAATGTTACATTTACTCAGATTAAACTTTTGCTCTGTCATCTATGTTTTATTACGAATAAAATATTGACATTTGCCATCTCCACATCATTGCATTCAGTTTTTATTCACAATTTGTTTAGTGTCCCAACTTTTTTGGAATCCGGTTTGTAGTTAAATTCTTGTTAAATTCCTCCCATGCACGCTCCCGCGGCTGCCATTTGGCAGCAAATCATATTTCGGCACAACACCGGCCCACATTTCCAGGTGGTCAGCGGTGACGCATAATAGATGCGACTTATACGGCAACGCGACTTATTTATATATATATTTTCCAATTTTATTAAGACATTTTTGGAGTGATGCGACTTATACGGCAGAAAATATGGTAAATAGTAAATATAATTGCAGTGTAGTGCATGCTAAGATTTGCAAGAAGCAGTGCAAAGAATGAAATAGTTAATAGAGTTTTCACATCTAAAGTTTTTTAAGTGATGTTTAATGACGTGAACTGACCACCTCCTACACAAAGATGAGCTACTCTGTAATGAAACTTTTTTTTAATGACAGCAGAGTTGAGTGAATCTGTGGGAGAAAGAGCTTTGTTGTCTCTGCGTGATGTCATGAAGGGGAGGGAGAGATCGCTCGTGATTGAGAGCACTTTGTCCCTCGCTGACTCAAACGTCTTCAAGTTCGGTCCAATTATTCTTCCAGCCTTTTTTATGAGTTTATTGAGCACCTCTGCCATTGATGCAGCTCTCCGTAGCACAGTAGATGGCACCTGTCACCACAGACTGGTAAGATCTCCAGCGTCTTGGTGCACACGGTAAAAGATCTGAACTCACTCTGAAAGTAGAGTTTGTCTTATTCTAACACACTCAAGTTTGTGTAGTTCGCAACAACACCCACCTCCTCACATAAGATTTTGTTGACTTGGTTGGAGATCTTTACCTCCTACAGTTAACTATCATCTCCTCAGTCTTTGCCATAGACTGTATGGTTCTAGACTTCCAGCCGGAACATGGAAGAAGAAGATAAAACAGATGCTGTCATCTCTATAGACAGGTCTTAAGTCCCGCTCCCTCTGTATAAATAAATGAAACATTGCCCTTGGCAAATAATAAAAACAAAAACAACACCTCCAGATATTTCTTTCCCTGTTGGATCTTGATGGATTCATGTCGTTTTGGCCTTGCTGCTTTACATTCAGATGTTGTTTTGTCCAACACTTTTAACTGTTTTGTGTGGGGGAAGGTAGGGAGGCTTAAAGATGCAGATCCTTGGTTTCCAAAACACAATATGGCAGCAGCTCCCATACACCTGCTCCTGCTGGTTTTAGTTCCCAACTAAATATATATATATATATATATATATATATATATATATATATACACACACACACACACACACAGGTTTGTTTTGCTATCTTTGTGGGGCCTTTGCATTGACTTCCATTCATTTTTCATTCATGTCTATAGCCTAACCATGACCTTTATCCATAACCTAACCATTACCAGTACATACCTAACCCTAAACCTAACACATCCTCAATTCACACCTTAGTCCTAAACCTAGCCCCTGACCCACCAACGGGACTTCTTCTTATGGGGCCCGGGCTTTGGGCCCCATAAGGAGCAGTTGGTCCTCACAATGCAGTATAAGTTGGAAAAATGGGCCTCACAAAGTAGCATAAACAAGGACACACACACACACACAGTATGTGGTCTTTGCAACATTTAGGGACTGACTGTTTCTGCAGGACATCAGAGCTTCTGCAGGTGACATGACTCAAAGTTGTCTTAGAACTCCGCGGTGTAAAGAGTGGGAACAGAAGAGTCTCCTGTGTTACACATCACATCAGACAGAATGCTCCTCTCTCAGCTCTAATGGGCCTTCAACTCTGGGAATTTTGAGAACAGTCCCTGGGTTTACTAATGTAAGGAGTGAGCACTGTAACATTTATAAAGAAAAGATTAGTCTTTTTTTTATTCTTGTCAGCAAATTTGATTGGAAGAAATTATTTGATTTCTCGAGATGTTTTCCTTAACTAAAATAATGAGGGATGCACAATATTGTCAACATAGTATCGATATCAGCTGATATTAGTGATAAAAGGTGCTTTTTAATGTATATGCATATTTATTTATTTATTTATTTATTAGCGCTGCCTTTGTATGACAACCCAGTGACAAGGATGCCTGCAGCGCCAGCACAACATTATGACATGACGTGCACTGTTGAGTTTACGTTAGCAAAAATTTACAAATTTGCACTGTTCGAGTGTTGTCATTGTGTTAGAGAGTAAATGTCATGAATACATTTGACATTAAACATAATCCAAGTTGAAGTGTTGCATCATTTTCAGCTCCTTTTTGGCATCTGCATTTGGTAGCAGGTCAAACTGACAAAGATCATGCAGAATAATGTAGTATTTTAATTTCACAGCAGAGAAAGCTATGTAGTCTCTGTAAGTAGGTCTAAAAATATCGGTATTGATATCAGTTATCAGCGAAATAAGTTTTAATATATCAGCATATCGGATATCGGCCAAAAATCTAATCTCGTGCGTCCCTAAAAATAATAGTATAAAAACATTGGATATGTTTGGTATTTCATTAAATTTAAAATGAGTGATTGGATTTCAAATTTACATTCAGTATTCAATTATTTAAAGATGCGACAGATACTGCTTCAAAGGCTCAAGGTTCTTTATTGTCATTCGCAAGATACAAGAGGTGGAATGAAAATGTGTCCCAGTTACACCCCAAAATGGCAAAAATATGAAGTATATATATATATATATATATATATATATATATATATATATATATATATATCAAAGAAACAGTATACAAGATCTAAGATAGTAAACAACAATGTAATATCTTACGGTGTATTATTTGAGCCTGAGTTTGTGTTTTTCTGCACGTGGGCTTCAGGAATCGTCCTGGTTGCCATCAATCCGTATGAGAGCCTGCCTATTTATGAAGCCGACATCATCAGTGCCTACAGCGGGCAGAACATGGGGGATATGGACCCTCACATCTTTGCAGTAGCTGAGGAAGCATACAAACAGATGGCCAGGTTTGATCCAAATATAAAACATTTCACACATTTTGCATTTCTGGGCAGAAACTATGCTTATTAGTCTTAAAACTCACAAAGCTTATATGTAACATGTGTGTTCTTATATTTCATGCAGAGATGAGAAAAATCAGTCCATCATAGTAAGCGGTGAGTCTGGAGCTGGGAAAACGGTTTCTGCTAAGTACGCTATGCGTTACTTTGCTACAGTCAGCAGCTCCTCAGTTGAAGCCAATGTTGAAGAGCGAGTTCTTGCATCTAGTCCAATCATGGAGGTAACATTTGCCACTGCAGGAAAAGGTAATGCCGTTTAAAAATATAATTTGCATGATATAAAATATCTTTACTTGAGTTAGGCTTTTGGGAATGCCAGGACAACGAGGAATGACAACAGCAGTCGCTTCGGGAAGTACATCGAGATTGGATTTGACAAGAAGCACCGGATTATTGGCGCCAACATGAGAACCTACTTACTGGAAAAATCTAGAGTTGTGTTTCAGGTAAAATGTCATCAATACGTCTGACTTTGATGTAAAACTCTCAGGCACGTGTGTAATTATTGTGTTGGATTTTTTGGGGGTGATCTATTTGGCAGCTGTCAACTAAGACAATCTGTTTTAAGTGTAAATTTGTCAATGCAGGTTGAGTTTTGTCTGACACATTTGGGGTAATTTTCCTGATTAACCTTCAGCATCTATTCTGTTGTTTTAGTCTCATGGAGAAAGAAACTACCACGTATTTTACCAGCTTTGTGCCTCGTCACATCTACCGGAGTTCAAAGCCTTCAAGTTAGGTCTGTGAGTTTGTAAAATATCCACGTTCTGCACATGATGTTTAAAAATGACTGCTGTAGCAAAATAATTGCATGAAGTTTCCAATAAAGGAGCAATATTTTACGTTTGCTGTTGAAAGGTTGTGCTGATGACTTCTGCTGCACTAACCAGGGTCAGAGTCCGGTCATAGATGGAGTTAATGATGCCAAAGAGATGCACAGTACCAGGAGAGCTTTCTCACTAGTGGGTGAGTATTAATATAAAGGAAGACATTATTTTATAATTACCTGATGCAACTGATAATTGTTTATTGTTTGTTGTTTGCATTGTAGGAATTGGCGATGGTGAACAAATGGAAATTTACCAAATTTTGTCAGCAATTCTTCATCTCAGCAACGTGGAAGTGAAAGATCAGTCTGCAGACAGATGCAGCATCTTGGTAATCAGATTACCCTTTGATTTAGTAACAGAATAATTGAAATGCTTTTGTTGGGGGGGGGGGGGTACTGTAATGCGTTTTGTTTTAAAGTGAGGGGCATACTGCAGGTAATACAGTGACTTCTCAGATCAACTTCTACAATGCTGAAGTATTCCTTTAAATTTGTGTTAATACGTATGTGAAGCTTTACTTTCATCAAGTCCTTTAATGTGTTTCCAGCCGAATAATGCCCACTTGATGGTTTTCTGTGAGCTCATGGGGGTACCGTGTGAAGAAATGGCTCACTGGTTGTGTCACAAGAAGCTCAAGACGACCACAGAAACCTTTGTTAAGCCCGTTTCCAAAATAAATGCGGTCTACGGACGGGATGCCTTAGCCAAACACGTTTATGCCAAACTCTTCAGCTGGATTGTGAACAGTATTAACAACGCCTTAAAATCTACAGAGAAGCAACACTCGTTTATTGGTGTTCTCGACATTTATGGGTAAGTTCTCCTAAACAGTTTTTCTTCATTTCATTCAATCCAAACGAACCGGATTTGATTTCAAATGTGTGTTTTGTTTTCTTCAGGTTTGAAACGTTTGACGTCAACAGCTTTGAGCAGTTTTGCATCAATTATGCCAATGAGAAGCTTCAGCAGCAGTTCAACTTGGTACGAATCCTTTGTGCTCAACATGGTCCTATTTTTTTTCCTTGTTTTTTAGTTTTATTTTACAGTACTTGATTTGTCACTCTCTGCAGCACGTGTTCAAACTCGAGCAAGAAGAGTACATGAAAGAGGAGATCTCTTGGACTTTGATTGACTTCTTTGATAACCAGCCCTGCATCCACCTCATTGAGGCCAGACTGGGCATCCTGGACCTTCTGGACGAGGAATGCAAAGTAAAGTGGCACTTCTATTTTTGCCACTATAGAAATGTTTTTTCCTCTCCAGTCTCTGGACTCCCAGCACACTGTGTGTGGAGGCTGTGAGTAATACCATGACTAACTGACATGTCAGCTTTTCCGCTTTCCACAGATGCCCAAAGGCTCCGATGACACGTGGGCTCAGAAACTGTACAACGCCTTACTGAAGCAGAACGCTCACTTTGATAAACCCAGGTTATCAAACAGGGCTTTCATCGTCCATCACTTTGCTGACAAGGTGATCATTTTGTGACACATGGCGAGGTGGCCTTAAGGTCCAGTGGTTTAACCCACAAAAGAAACATTTTTCAAGTTGTTTGTATATGCTTTGGTTTCTCTCCAGAAGTTCACAGTCTGTCATGGTTTTCAAGCTGCACAGTATTCTCATGGGTGCAAACAATGTTCAGTAGAACAGATCCTATCATGAACTGAGATGTGCTGCAAACATTCAGACTCATGCTTACTATTCAAGACAAATTGTGACTTGTATTTTTAAACTACAAGTCAAATTTGACATTGTCAGAACTCGTTTGTTCCGATGGAGGATTCTGCTTCTTAAAGTTCAGCTAATTTCTTGTGCATAGGTGGAGTACCAGTGTGTGGGCTTCCTGGAGAAAAATAAGGACACAGTCAACGAGGAGCAAATCAACGTGCTGCAAAAGAGCAAGGTAAAGAGATGTTTTAACCATGTCTAAGCTATTATCTGTAGACGTCAACGTTTTTCTGTGAAATTTCATCTAATGCTTCACTGAAAGCCACAAAGCTGTTGAGTAATGTTGTGTTGTAAGTTTGTGGGCACAACACACACACCCTTAGATTGTTCAGACACAACTATTGGAGGAAATGACGGCTATATTTAAAACTTCAGATTGCAAACGGCGCCACCTGCTGTTGAGCTTTTTGTTCTGTTGCTCTTCAGTTTGATTTGCTGCTGAAGCTGTTTGAGGATGAAGACAAAGCCAAAGTTTCTGCCAGCAGATCTTCTGGCATCACTGGGAGAGCTGGGCAGAATCAGCGGGATACAAAGAAGACTGTTGGACTGCAGGTGAGACCGCTCTGGCCACGAAACAGGACTTTTCATGGCGTAATAGTTTTTTTCCACAAAGATGCACTTGGTGATCTCAGTGAGTCAGTATCAAGGGTTGCTTAAAATAATGTTATTTTTTCAACGCATGCACTTTTAATATTCTCTTACATTGTTTCAGTTTCGACAGTCTCTACAATTGCTAATGGACACGTTAAATTCTACAACGCCTCATTACGTACGCTGCATCAAACCAAATGACCTTAAAGCCCCCTTCACGTGAGAATTATTTGCCTTTTTTTTTTAAATACAATTCCCTTCAAGCATAAATGAAAGATTCAAATACTCGTGCATTTTTAGCTTAGACTCTGTGAGGGCTGTGCAGCAGCTTCGTGCATGTGGCATCCTGGAAACAATTCGTATTTCTGCAGCAGGCTTCCCATCCAGGTACCGCATCAGCATTGATATATTTGGTAGAAAGCTGAAAACATGAACATTGTGAGCATTATACATAGTCTTATACTTTATGATACTTACAATATTAATACTACAGATGGACTTATCAGGAATTCTTCAGTCGTTATCGTGTCCTCATGAAGCATAAAGAAGTGCTTCCGGATAAAAACCAAACCTGCAAAAACCTAATGGAAAAACTTATAAAGGTATGAACGAAAGAGTTTAATTTAATTTAAAAAAATACATGACCATTTACTAAAATATTAAATGTGCCACTGTATTTTTCATGTCGTTTTTAGGACCAGAAGAAGTACCAGTTTGGCAAAAACAAGATCTTCTTCAGGGCTGGACAGGTGGCTTTCTTAGAGAAGCTCCGTTCTGACAAACTGCGTCTGGCTTGTGTCTCCATCCAGAAGACAATCCGCTGCTGGCTCACCCGCAGGAAGTATCTGAGGATGAGAGAATCTGCCATCACTGTTCAGAAATATGTGCGGGGTCATCAAGCACGCAGGTATGTGGAGATGGTAAACAGCAGCAAAGAAGATAAAAAGCTATATTTATAAAAGTTAATATTTTAAATATTGTTCCTCTCTTTTCTCAGGTATGTGAAGTTTCTGAGGCAGACCAGAGCAGCTGTTGTGATCCAGCGAAACGTTCGAATGTGGACAAGAAGAAGATGCTTCCTGCAGCAGCGCTCTGCAGCTATCACCATTCAGTGTTTCTGGAGAGCTCACATGGCCAGGAAGCTGTACTATCAGGTACGTTTGATCGGAAGGACTAAGAATTTGTTCTCCATTAGGATGTGGCAATTGTAGATGAACAGATGCTGGATATATTCATCATTTAACGCGAGTTCCTCATTTTTCTGGACTGAATAAAACGTGCACTGAATTTAAGGAAATGCAAAGTGAGACGTCATTTAAATTTGACCCATCAAAATGAATGCGGTCATTTATTTACAGAATCAAATTTAACATCAAACATTTACATTAATTTGGCAAATTATGAAAATAACAATATAAGCAATCAATCAGGAAAAATCATACGGCCATGATTTTTTCCGTTGCTGACATTTATAAAACTGTACAACTATGATCTTTTACCCACACGGATGTGAATAAGCACTTTACACAGACATTTCTAAATATCTGGGAGAATTTCTACTTCATAGGAAAGTTTAAAGATGGAAAGAAGTTTAGAGGGAGTAAAGGATGGTGTGTGAGGGAAATTAAGTGTTTTCCAGAACCGACACTCTCCATCAGAAGCCCAGCTCGCCTTGGTACGCTTGGTAGGAAACTTGACCCATTACCTCTCTGATGATAATCAGCAGATATGGTGTTCCGTTAACGCTACCGGTCCAGCGTCTCCTTAGAATGGCTGTTGCCCGTCAGAAGTAGTGGCGAGGCTCTGTTCGACACACATTCACCTCAGTGGAAAATGTTATAATCCCATGGAACTCGGAAGAGCTTTGTTGTCATGTCAGGAACTCCAACAGCACTCCATCAGAACTCCAGAACTCTAGAAGTCTGACAACTCTCCAACTCCGTGAACTCTGTAACTCCGTGAGTCGTAAGTCACTCTGTGAGTACCTGTGAGTCCCTGTAGAGTCTGTGTAGACCAGGAAGTACTGACATTTTAAAGACTCTTTCCCGGTTCACTTTTTGGGATTTTTCATTGGTCAGAAACGACCAGAAGGGGTGTGTTTTTGTGACGTAATAGGTTAGAGACAGCGAGAATTGTTATGAGACAGCTCAGAAATGTTCTCACAGACCGAGAGGGTTCTGTTTTGGCGTGCCTAAGACACAGGTGCAAAACATCTCTATTTACGTCTGAGAGGATTCTAAAACATGACAGTTTTAACATAACAACTTGTTTTTCGTTTGACTGTAACCTTGTAAACGCACACACTTGCTCATTCAAAAGCAGAACTCAGAAAAATGCATAATTACTCTGCAACAGCTTTTAACATGAGAATAAAAATCATTACTCAGTTAATAAAATTGATTAGTTCACTGCAACATCTAAAATGGTTTGAACTAAGACACTTTGATTATCAACATTTGTAAGATAGTAATGATAATAAAAAGAGAGTGTTCTTTTCACTTGAATCTTCAAGAAAGAAAGTCTCAGGATGGGTGAACCTGTATCTATGTATTCAAATACATGAAATGACAGTTCCTGTCCCACAAGGTTCTAAAGGTCAAGAGTTTTGACCTTAGACTTAGTTTTGACGTAGGCCTAGTCCACTACACAATTCACCTTTAACATGATGAACATAATGTAGGAAGAAAAAGGTTTGTAAGCTCAATCATCCAGGTAGATGACGACAAAAAAGGTTAAATCATGTCATCTGGACCAGTTTCTTTAAGTGAAGAAATGTTTTGTTCCTCATCCAGAGGACTTTGTCAGTCTGTGGCCTGCCAACCAGATCTGTCCCATAAGTAGCCTTCACTGCTGTTTCAAGCCAACCTCCTGCTGGAATCTCAGAAGTAGACGTTTTAACACGTGCAAACAGAGCACACTCATCCGAAACCATCAGTCATCATGTGCGACAATCAAATGTTTTAGGCCAGATGGCCGACTTGCTACTCACAGAAACAGCCTGAGGACACCAAGGCCAAAGTGGTTCGGAAAAAGGTTTGCAAGCTCAGTCATCCAGGAGATAAACAAAACAGGTTATCATGTCATCTGGACATATCATCTGGTTTCAGATGGGTGTGCTCTGTTTGCACGTGTTAAAAAGTCTACTTCTGAGATTCCAACAGGAAGTTGGCTTGAAACACAGCAATGAAGACTACCTATGGGACAGATCTGATTGGCAGGCCACAGACTGACAAAGTCCTCTGGATGGGGGACAAAACGTTTCTTCACTTAAAGAAACAGGTCCAGATGACATGATTTAACCATTTTTGTTATAATGTAGGAAGGTTTCTTATCCAGTGGACACCCAGATGTTCAAGGTAAAGTAATGATGTCCCTAAAACAGCTAGGATTATTAACATCTTATTTGTTTCAGATAGCTAATTAAATGAATTGAATGACCGCAGGCAGGATAAATAGTTTAACTCCAGCAGGATTGACGATGTAGAATATCACAAACAGCTACAGCTAGTAGCTAATAGCTTTAATCAATGTTTTTACTCTCTGGTTTGCAACATTCAGCCATAACATTAAGACCAGTTATAGATAACACTGTTGTTGGAAAACCATGCCCTGTTGGGAAAACCTGCATCATAAATGCTACTTTCACTCTTTGACTCTTTTTGCACAGCTTCATACGGTAGCAGCACCCTCTGCAGGAGCAGCTTCCTCCTGCAGGGCGTTAGAGGAATCCACAACCACTGTTTATGTACAAAAGCAGAGAGTCTGAGGTGTTTCCTCACACAGTAACAACTCCAGATACCAATCTGTCTACAGATCCTACAATGCAGGGAGATCCAAAAGACTTTGCTAATGTCACAGTGCCAGATACTCTAGGAAAACCCTCAAATATTCTTTGTATTCTGACTGGTCTGATATTTTTAAAGGGCAAAGGGTCATAATGTTATGGCTGGCTGAGGTGCAGCAGAACAGATTTGTTTATTTTTTTCACATTATGATTTTTAGTGTCCCAAGTGTGGAAATGTCCAAAATTTGTGGTAAGACTGAAACAAACTCGTCATTTAAAAAAATAATGACAGTGGTACTCGGTAAATCAAAAAGAATTTAATTATGCTTTGAAAAGAAAGTCTAGTTAACTTAGCACCATGTCACTTACATTTTATTCCTGCGCCCGTTTCCACAGCTGATATACGAGCGCAAGGCCGTGATCATTCAGAAGTGGGCGAGAGGCTGGCTGGCCAAGTGGCGTTACAGACGCACCCTGTCAGCCATCATCCTGCTGCAGAGCTGTGTGCGCCGCATGAGGGCCAAGAAAGAACTGAAGAAGCTCAAAGTGGAGGCGCGCTCCGTGGAGCACTTCAAGAAGCTCAATGTCGGCATGGAAAACAAGATTCTGCAGCTGCAGCACAAGATAAATGAACAGGTGAGTGTCATGGCGTGTAGTTTTGTCTGCCGTTAATACTAGGACACTTAACTTGATTCTGAGGATTGTTACATCATCAGGAGTTGTCGCATCACATGCAAATCATGTGTCTGTATCTCTCCCCCCCCCCCCCCCCCCCGCCTCCCGCAGCAAAAAGAAAACAGGGAGCTCAGTGAGAGGTTCGGCGTTCTGGAGAAGACCCACGCTGCTGAGAGAGACAGACAGAGCAGAGAGATCGAAAACCTGCAGAGGTCAGAGCAGGAGGCCAGAGCCACAGCAGAGACGGTTCCCTCGCTGCTGGAGCGGCTCTCCTTCCTTCAGCACGAGCTGGAAAACACCAGCAGAGAGAAGAAGGAGCTGGAGGAGCAGACACAGGTCTACAAGGAGCAAACGCAACAGGTAGGTCTGTTCTGCAATGATCTAGTGGGAGTGAAAACTTCAGTTTTCTACTTCAAACTAATAATGACGTTACATTTAGACATATTCTTCCTGTCAAACCATCTGATAAAAACAACTACAAAACTGCAATGTTTTAAATTTTACTTTGATTTGCAAATTAGATACTTTTATCATAAGATATACCTTTTTCGTCTCTTTATTTAATACGTCATTTTTTTCATCTAGCTTTGACGTGAAATGAGTTTGTTTCCTGAAAGTCTGATGCAGCCTGACAAAGTGTGTTTTACAGATTTTAAATACTTACTTTTACCTTCTGGGCTTTTTATACTCTTTTTATTTACTCGGCTTTAATTCTTTAAAGCCCAAAAAGTTATAATGAATAGACTTAATTAATAAAAGCTTGTAAATATTCTCTTTTATCAGGTTGTAGCTGAGCTTAACATGAAGAATGACTTGTTAACGAGCAACATAGACGAGCTGAACCAGGAGGTCTTGAAACAAGCTCAACAGTTAACAGGTTTGAAAACAGTTCACCTCAAGTCTTCACAGATTAAATGTCTGAATGTAAAACAATAACAACAAAACTGTTTGACTCAGAGATTAAAACAACGTCTGAGAGCACCAAAGAGCTGGAGAAAGACCTGACTGAGGAGCGTTCTCGATACCAAAGTCTGCTGAGTGAACACCTGCAACTTGAGGACCGGCACAAGGACCTGAAGGAAGAGATGAGTCTCAGTATTGTGAGAAACATTTCTTTTGTCCTACTTAGTCCTAAAAATGACAATAAAAAAACACATGTATGTCCAAACTTTTCATGAAACAAATTTAGACCTGACTACTCGCGGAGCAAAGACTGCAAATAGAAATACCCTCCGTCCATCTGTCTGTCTCGTGAGCTTCATGATTTGAACAATGAGAGAGGTACAGACTTACATTTTTGTGTGTGGCTGCATCTAGGCATAAGAAAGGTCTTTATTGAAAATGGGGACATCCAAGATGGCCACCACCATATATATGTATATGTAAACTGGCCCTGCTGATCATTTGAGGAAACTGGTCTGATTGGCCACCATAGATTAATCTACAGACACACTCTGGCTCCACCATCGTGCCTGGTGGAGGAGAAAATTGCTCCCTCTGCTCACCGGGGTCTGTCGCTCTGTGCCACCTGGGACAAGCAAAAATAATAATAATAGTAAACTACCTGCATGGCAGTTACTACCTGGACTTACATACACAGTGTAACTCTGACCCACTTGAATGTCTTGCACCAACAACATTATGGTTTTCTTGTATTCCTTGTTCAATTCCAGTCCAGAAAAACACTCATCTCGAAATGGGACATCTTGTTAACTTAGTAAGCAACACAGAAGTATCCACAACAGCAGTGGATACTAGTATATATACTAGTATTCACAGCAGCAGTGGATACTAGTATCTATAGTGGTGGATTTCTGATCTCTCAATAAGTAACATTTTCTGTTTTCTCTCACTTAACAAGAATTCAAGCAAATTTAGTCACAAAAGGACGGACTCCAACTACAGCAGTAACTCATCCGAGTTTTCTCCGAGCTTAAGCTCAACTGAAGGTGAAGATGGCTCCATCCACACAGAGGTAATGTGTGAAGTACTCATCTATTGATGTGAAGGTGGATGTAGCCTGCTTGTGTTGACAAGGACAGAAAGTAGTTGTGAAATAATCAGCAGCTGGACTGTGGTGTGTCTTTTAATCCACAGCTTTTATTGAAGTAATTTTCATGTAGATCAGATGGTGTAGTGTTTGTGAACGTAGCCCAGTTTTAGCTGCCAGACAGTTGGCCTCACATTCAAGTTTAGAACATTCTGGTTTACAGAGGAATTCATGGTTGACTCAGTTACTGCAAGGTGTTCAGATCCTGCAGCTGCAAACAAAAAAAAGCCCAAATCATCATCCTTCCACCACTGTGCTTGAGAGCTGATATGAGGGCTTTAAACACATACTTTTGGTTTTATTCATGCAAAGAACTTTGTATTTTTTTCCAAAGAAGCCATACTTTTTCTGTTTCCCTTTAATTCTCTATCAAACATGTTTTTAATTCAGGCCTTTAGCATCCAATATAAAGTTTTTATTTTCAATTTGAGGATTATTCTGGGTGATTTCAGGAAGACTCACTCCCTGAAAAATTAGCATCTGTCTAGTCCAGCAGTGTCCAGACTTTTTCAGCATGCAAGCTGCTTTCAAAATGACCAAGTCAAATTGATCTACCTACTATAAGGCCCCGTTTACACAAGATCAACCTCTGGAAAACTTAGTGTTTTTTCATTGTTTACTGAGATAATAAACAAAAAAAAACCAAGTGGATTTACATGAAAAATGCTGTAGTGTGTCAGTCGGGTTGCCAGATAAAAAATTATGACCTATAGTACTGTGGCTTTAAAATTATAGTATTTTGACCTAAACTGTCATATGTGCTGAGTAAATGCGTGTGTTGTGTTTGTTGAACATGTGCACAGAAATGGAGGGGGTAAACAAGACATTTTAAATTTATCTGGCAACCCTGACCAGGCTCAGCTGCATTCTTTGCACATGCAGCATTTTTGGTTGTGTGCCACACACAGTAAATGCTTCAGAACAATAAATAATAAAACATACATTAATCTTGGAATTAAAAGAATACAGAGTTACTTTTTACCTTAACTGTAACACTTAGTTTGTTGTCTGGAACCAGATTTTTGAAGTTTAAATATACATAGTATTTTATAGAAAACAGTTCATTATAGACTACAGGAAACATTTTCCAAGTGCCACAGTAAAGATTAGAAATGGACAAAAATTACTTTGTGTTGATTAATTTAACACTTCAGTTGCAGAGAACAAGATTCCTTAAAACATCCATTTGAAAAGTATTATCTTTTGTCTGGTTCTGACACAAATAGTGCAGTATTTGAGGTAAATTGAAGATAATTATCAACTAGTGTTTTTTTTGTTTGCTCAGGAAGAGATGCAGAAAAAAGTGGACGTGACGATTCTGCTTAAGCTCCAGAGGAGAGTGAAGGATCTGGAGGAGGAAAATCGATCACTTTGGCAGCAGCTGGACACAAAAGAAGAAGCCCAACAAGAAAAGGCAAAAGTATGCAAAGCCTTTTTCCTAAATAAAAAATTAGATGTGATGAATTCATAATAAGGCTTTTTGTTACATTCTGATGTTTTAAGTTACATGTATTTTTTTCTGGAACAGGAGGTGGAGGAGCAGAGGAGTGTTGGCAGAACAGAACTGGACTTGGAGAAATTAAAGGTGAGACTTGGTGTTTTGGGATTCAACAGTTACTGCACCTTCGGTAATAACCTGTCAGTGCTGACATATCTAAAGATGAAATAAAGTCTAAGTATTTCTTGATTTTGTTTAAAAATGTTTTAATGCAGCGACAAGAACTGGAGTCCGAGAACAAGCAGTTGAAGCAGAATTTAAGTGAGCTGCGGAAGTCTCTGACCAGTGAGAACAGCGATGTAGCGCCCCCCGCCCCAGGTTCTTTGCCCTACAACATCCTACTGGAACAACTCGGTTCCTCCAACGAGGAGCTGGAGATGAGAAAAGAGGAAGTGCTGCTGCTCCGCTCACACATGGTTCGTCAGGAGGCTCTAAAACACAAGGTGAGAAGTTCAGTGTCTCACTTTTACTAATACAGTCAGAAAGAATGAATATATGTTATAACATTAACTTTAACTTGGTGCCCAGGATTCTGTACTCGGAGATGGTGTGAAATTAGATTTCAGTCAGATTCCTTCATTCCAACACCATGACAGGTGAGGCCTCTTAGAATCACTTTTAACCTACATGTTAGCAAGCAGTTCTTAAAAAAAAGTCTGAATTTAACACTCAAAAATGTTATCAAAGTAATAAAATAAAATGGGATTTTTTGACTGTTTGGAGATCTTGTATATTAATTGAATTGTGCACTTCTGTGCATATTGTCTGCTGTCTTGCATGTCAAAGTTTTAAACAAAGGTCCTGTGCAATCAGTTAACACTCAGACTGTTGATGGGATGACTCTCAGCAACTACCTCATCAAATTTTAGCTCAGTTTCTGCATAACTGACTGAGTTGTAGCTATTTTTGTGTTTGTAACAAGGGCGTGCTTACCACTGGGATGCATTATTTTTCTCTTTGCCAACACAATCAATTTATCTACTTTTAAAAGCTAAATGTTTTTTTTATTTTTTTATTATTCTTTTAGCAGGGCATCCGTTGGACAGTCCCTTTTCTTATTTTCTTTTGTACTTGTTTAACCTACTTTAACGCTTGTGGCCAAACAACTGCATGTGGTGCAATCATGTTTTGATGCTTTTCTTCAGGTCTACTGACATTCATACACTGAATGAAGATGGAGAGCTGTGGCTGGCTTATGAAGGTTTGAAAGAGACCAACAGGTAATGGATTAATATACCACACATAATGCATTCAAACATGGTCTTGCAATATGGACTTAAACACTTTTTCCTCGTGCTGTAGGCTTCTGGAGTGTCAGATGCAGGAGCAAGAGCATCTTCAGAATGAGAAGTACAGGAAGCTCATTGAGGAGATGAACAAACTGAGGGCTGAAAAGGAGCAGCAGCAGAAACTGTTGTCTCAGAGCCTTCATATGTCTGAAGATGCTAGAGTTGAAGCAAGCCTGAAGCATGAGATCACACGGCTCACTGCTGAGAACCTGGTGGGTCTGATTATTGGATCGAGGTCTGTCACTCTCTCTTTTATAAGTTATGTTGTTAGTTTCAGCACACCAAGCTTTGTTATGTAAAAAAAAAAACATGAAATGTCCATCCATCCATCAGGGAGGTCCAGACATCTTTTTCCACAGCCACCTCTTCCAGCTCTTCTGGGAGGATTCCAAGGTGTTCCCAGGCCAACTGAGAGACATAGTCTCTCCAGTGTATCCTGGGTCTTCTCTGGGGTCTCCTCCCAGTCAGATATGCCCAAATCAACTCTCTAGGGAGGTGCCCAGCAAACATCCTTACCAGATGCCAAACCACCTCAACTGGCTCCTCTCGATGTGGAGGAGCAGCGGTTCTACTCGGAGTCTCTCCCAGAAAACTGAACTTCTCACCCTATCCCTAATGGAGTGTCCAGCTACCCTGCAGAGGAAACTCATTTCAACTGCCTTTATCTGCAATCTCATTCTTTCGGTCACTACCCAGAGCTCATGACCATAGGTGAGGGTAGGAACGTAGACCATCCGGTAAACGGAGAGCTTCGCCTTACAGCTCAGCTCCCTCTTCACCACAATGGACTGGCATAGGGTCCTCAATTCTGCAGATTCTGCACCAGTCCGTCTGTCAAGCTCACGCTCCATTCTTCCCTCACTCTTGAACAAAACCCTGAGATACTTGAATTCCTCCACTTGAGGCAGAACCTCACCCTTGACACGAAGAGGGAAATCCCCCCTTTTCCAACTGAGGACCATGGCCTCAGATTTGGATGTGCTGACTTTCATCCCAGCCGATTTAAACTCTGCTGCGAACCACTTAAGTGAGAGCTGGAGATCACAGCACGATGACAACAGGACCACATCATCTGTAAAGAGCAGAGATGGAATCCTGGGGCCACCAAACCTGACTCCCCCTGGCTGCACTGAGAAATTCTGTCCATAAAAATTATGAACAGAATTGATGACAACGGGCAGCCCTGGTGGAGTCCAACTCCCCATCCTGAAGGGGTCCGACTTACTACTGGCAATGTGAACCAAACTCTCGTACCACTTGTATAGGGACTGAACAGCCCGTAACAATGGACCCCCACTCCCATACTCCCAGAGCATCCCCACAGTGTACCCCGAGGAACATGGTCAAATGTCATCTCCAAGTCCACAAAACACATGTAGACTGGATGGGCAAACTCCCAGGACCCCTCAAGGACCCTAGTGAGGGTAAATAGCTGATCCAATGTTCCACGGCCAGGACGGAACCCACATTGTTCCTCCTGGATCTGGGGTTCGACCAACAATCGGACTCACTTCTCCAGTACCCCTGAATAGACATTTCCAGTGAGGCTAAGGAGAGTGATGCCTCTGTAATTGGAGCACACCTTCCTCTCCCCCTTTTTGAAGAGGGGAACGAAAACCCAGTCTGTCAATTCAGCAGCGCTGCCCCCAATGTCTACATGGTGTTGCAAAGACATGTCAAAAAAGACAGGCCCACAACATCCAGAGCCTTAAGGACATTAGGGTAGATCTCATCCACCCCTGGAGCCCCAGTGCCACAGAGCTTTTTAACTACCTCGGTGACCGCAGCCACGGTTATGGACTCGGCTTCCTCCATGGAAAATGTGCTGGTGGGATTGAGAAGGTTCGAGAAGTATTCCTTCCACCTCCCGATGACATCACTGGTTGGGGTCAACAGCACCCCACCTTCACTGAACACAGTGTTAGTAAAGAGCTGCTTTCCCCTCCTCAGCCACCTGATGGTTTGCCAGAATCTCCTTGGAGCCGACAGAGAGTCTCTATCCAAGGTCTCACCGAACTCTTCCCACATCTGAGCTTTTGCCTCAGCAACATTCAGGGCTGCTGACCGCTTGGCTCTCCGGTACACTTCAGCTGCCTCCGGAGTCCCACCGGCCAACAAGGCCCTATAGTACTCCTTCTACAGTGTGACAGTCTCCCTAACCCGGGGTGTCCACCATCGAGTTTGAGGATGGCCACCAAGAGAACTATCGACAACCTTGCAGCCACAGCTCAGGCAGCCACTTCAACAATTGAGTTGCGGATCATGGCCCATTTGGACTCAATATTCCCCACATTAGCTGTGATGCAGTTAAAGCTGTCATGGAGGTGTGAGTTGAAGATCTCTCTGACGGATACTTCTGTCAGGCATTCCCAGCAAACCCTCACTACACGTTTGGGTCTATCGGGTTTGTCCGGCATCTTCCCCCGCCATCTGGTCCAACTCACTACCAGGTGGTGATCAGATGACAGCTCAGCTCCTCTCTTCACCCATCTGTCCAAAACAAACAGCCGCAAATCAGATGACACACCTATGAAGTCAATCATCGATCTATGACCTAGGGCGTCCTGGTGCCACGTGCACTTACGGACATCCTTATGTTCGAACATGGTGTTTGTGATGGACAAGCTATGACTAGCACAGAAGTCCAACAACAGAACACTGCTCGAGTTCAGATCAGAGAGGCCGTTCCTCCCAATCATGCCCTTCCAGGTCATCCATTACCCATGTGGGCGTTGGAAGTCCCCTGGAAAAATCAAGGAATTCTCAGCTGGAGCATCTTTCAGCACCCCCGCTAAGGACTTCAAGAAGGCTGGAGACTCTGAACTGCTGTTGGGCACGTACACACAAATAACAGTCAGACCCCGTCCCCCCCCACCCGAAAGCGCAGGGAAGCTACCCTCTCATCTATCGGGGATAACTGGAACACACAGGCACCAAGTTGCGGGGCTAAGAGTAGACCCACACCAGCTCGACGCCTCTCACCATGGGCAGCTTCAGAGAGAAATGAGGTCCAGCCCCTCTCAAGGAGATCGGTTCCAGAGCCCATGCTGTGCGTCGAGGTGAGCCCAACTATATCTAGTCAGTACCTCTCTACCTCACGCACAAGCTCAGGCTCCTTCCCCACCAGAGTTTATGTTCCATGTCCCAAGAGCCAGCTTTGGTAAGCCAGGGTCACAGCACCCAGGCCCCTGTCTTCAGACACTGCCCATGGAGTCATGCACCTCACTCATATGACCCCTCCTGCAGGTGGTGGTCCCACAGGAAGGCAAATACATGTTGCTCGTTAGGGCTGAGCCCAACCAGGCCCTTTGGGTAGAGGCCCGGTCACTCGCCGACAAGCCCCGCCCTCAGACCTGGCGTCAGGGTGGGACCCCAGTAACCCTCGTCTGGGCACTGAGCTCCTTGTTTTATTTTGTCCATAAAAGTCTTCTGAATCTCTCTGTCTGGCCTGTCACCCAGGACCAGTATGTCTTGGGAGATACAACCAAGGGCAAATATAATTGCTCCTGACAACATAGCTCCTATGTTTCAGGCACACAAACTCCCCCACCACGATAAGGTGGCAATTCAAGAAGGACATGAACTGTCCATTGTTGAATGAAATATTCACATCAAAACTGCCAGATATTTGTGTTTTTGTGTCTTGATCCCATCTTTTTCCATCAACAATTTCAGGAACGAATGGAGCAACAAGAAAATCAAGACAAAATCATACGCAAGTTGAAAAAACAACTTAAAATTTACATGAAAAAAGTGGAAGATTTTGAAGGTAATCCAATGAACATTTGTAAACGGGACAATTGTAGACAATTGTAACATAAGCTTAATCAAATGACTACTCCTGCCCGCTCATGTTGTTGCTGTGTTTAGAGAATTGTCAGCAGATGAGCGGTGCCTCTGTGCCCGTCAGACCGGTGAACATCCCCCGCAAGGAGAAGGAGTTCCAGGGCATGCTGCAGTTCAAGGAGGGGGACTCAAGCCGCTTGTTCAAGAATCTGATCATAGGTCTGCGCTCCTCAGACAGGCGGTTTGTTTTTAATAACATACAAAAATCAAAGAGTAACCTTTTGCCCCACTAAATCTTATATCCACAGATTTGAAGCCTCGCGGTGTAGCCGTCAGCTTCACTCCATGTCTTCCTGCCTACATCATCTTCATGTGCCTTCGTTACGCAGACAGCGTGAGTGACGACGGGAGAGTCAGCACTCTCCTCAACACTACCATCAGCAGCATCAAGGGGGTCATAAAGGTGCCTAATTTACAGTAACCTCGACTTGGTTAAATTTAATAAATAACGTGCATTTTAAATTAATCTGTCAAATGTTTCTGCAGAGGAAAGGAAATGACTTAGAAGTTGTTTCTTTCTGGCTGGCCAACACGTGCAGGTTGATGCACTGTCTTAAGCAGTACAGTGGAGAAGAGGTGAGCGTCACAAGGTTTTCTGTTGTTTATAGTGCCACTTTTCTTGAATTAACCCTAATTGTTCATGTAACACTTCTGCTCTGTAGGTCTTCGTCATGCACAATACTGCTAAGCAGAATGAACAAAGTCTGGCTAATTTTGAGCTATCTGAGTACCATCAGCTTTTTGGTGATCTGGCCATCCAGATTTACCGTCAGCTCATCAAATGCATGGAGAACATCTTGCTGCCCATCATAGGTGAGAGATCATCTCTTATCTCAAATACAGTGACCAACTGCATTCACTCACCTTTATGTCCGTTCTGTAGTGGCGAGCATGCTGGAGCATGAGACAATACAGGGAGTTCTAGGGGCCAAACCCACAGGCCTGAGAAAGAGGAGCAGCAGTTTCCCTGAGGAGGAGGCTGTGACCGTGGAGCTCCTCCTGCAGCGCCTGACCTTCTTCCACACCACCATGAGTCAACATGGGATGGACTCGGACCTCATCAGACAGGCGGTCAGGCAGCAGTTTTACATCGTCTGCTCGGTCACACTCAACCACCTGCTGCTGCGGAAGGACATGTGCTCGTGGAGTAAAGGGCTGCAGATCAGGTGCTGCGAGGAACACAGTCATGTATTTTAAATTTCAAAAATACATGTAAAGGGTGTTTTTATGCTTTAGTATTGCACAGTAAATCTGAGGTATGTAAACACATTGATTAGTCAACTCCAATTGTCATGGCCTCCTTCATCTTGGTTAAATATTAAGAGAGGTCCATTAGTGCAGGTCACCTGTCAATCAGAGACACGTGCACAGATATTTCCACGATGCTGTTACGATCAACAAAATAGTTATATAATCAAATATTTAAAAGCCAAACTCCTACAAAGACTCAGTTGTTTCTTATTAATTTAATGTAAGTGGCAGTAGACTCACTCAGAATCACCAGGCTATCTTTTTATTAAAATTTTGTTCCTCAATATTTCAGATCACATAAATTATAAACTGCACATGAGCTCGTCTCTTGCTCTCCCTTAATGTGAAACTTTGCCCTTCTGTTTACATGTATAATTATCATTAAAGCAATTGAAAATTTAAACATTTAAGAGCAATTTTATACACATTTCCTGCATTAAAAAAAATAATTAGTGCTTTGCTTTTCATTGGAAACACTGAGCTGTAAAATATGTATTTCCAATTAATTTAATTTTTTTTAGTCTTGTGAAAACATGCTCCTATATTAGAAACCAGGGGTCCAGATGTAAAACAACAATGCTGTTTTTTTTCTTGTTGGGGTTGTGTTTACATTGATTTAAAACAAAGATAAATCAGAAAAAGTAACAAATAGGATATTAAGCAAGTTAAGTTTTGTAACTTTATAAATATACTGTTATTAGCAACAAAAATGTGTTTTCTATGTGAAGAGATTTTAAAGTAGCCAAAATAAATAATGCCTCTTATGTTGATTTGGTGAAGTTGGAATAACATTTAAAATCTCTAACATTTTTTTAAATTAAATTAGAAATTCACAATGATACTAACATCTGTATTTGTTTTATTTCACACTAGGATTCCTGAAAAATGCATTTCTAAAGTTTTTGGGGGTTTTTTGCAGTTGAACAAAGCTGAGAGAAGAAAACAGATGTTTTTTAACCACATCTGTATGGCTTCAGGTACAATGTTTGGCAGCTGGAGGAATGGCTGATGGAGCGGGAGCTGACCAACTGTGGTGCAAAGGAGATGCTGGAGCCTCTGATCCAGGCTGCACAGCTCCTGCAGATCAAGAAAAAGACCGAAGCAGACGCTCGAGCGATCTGCAGCATGAGCACCGCCCTCACCACAGCACAGGTCCAGCATCAGTAACCAACCCGCAGCCATTTCACCCGCTTCCATTAGGGCTCTAATCTTTGTTTGGTTTTCGTAACAGATTGTTAAAATCTTGACCCTGTACACGCCGGTGATTGAGTTTGAAGAACGCGTCTCAAACACCTTCATCACAATGATTAAAGTGAGTCAAGTTTTGAACCTTTTTATTTTCAGGCAGTCGATGTAGTCCAAATATTAACATTTTTATTTTATTTTTTTACCCCCTTTTTAGAGCCTTTTGAAAGACAGGGAAGAGTCTTCATCCACTTTAACAATGGACGCCAAGAAAATCTTCTCTGTGACGTTCCCATTCACTCCTTCCTCTGTGGCTCTGGAGACCATCCAGATCCCTGTGAGCTTTAATCTGGGCTTCCTTACCCGCATCTAGATCGGACCTGTGACGATTCATGTTTAAAATCTGTTTACCAGAGGACAAAGACGGAACACTAAAGAGTTTGTATCTGTAAGAATATTACTCTGATAAGCTGGTGCAACAAAACAAACAAAAAAAAACCAAGCAGGATTAGGTTATTTATATATATTTCTTATAAATGTAACACCAAAGAGTAACGCATTTCTAAGCAGAAGATATGCAAAAAAGCCTTCAAAGGTCATCTTGTTGCTATCAAGTTGGAGTTTCATTCAAAAAAAATTGTAGTTATGTGCAATATCTAGATGTTGATGCTGAATGTGAATGTCCTGCTGTTTTATATCCAGTGTCAAATATTTCTACATTTGCTAACATTATGGTATTTTTGCCCCAAAACGCAGGAGAACGAAAAAAAAAAAAAAAAAATTGTATTCAAGTGGTTTTCATGTTGTGGGTCAGAGTAAAGACTGGCTGTCTATTGAGATGGATTTATTTGTAGTTTATTGCTCAATAAAATGTTGATCTGCTCATCGTGGCCCCCGATTAACAAGAACTTGGTTTTCAGTCAATTTATTTATATTTTAGGCTTTCTGAACCAATGCATTAATATTTAGCTCTTGTAAAGGTCTACAAGTTCATCAATAATTAACCACAGCCTTGACTTTGTGCACACAGTGATGTTTTCTTGAAGCTTGAAAAGTAATTTATCCCGTTTTCTCAGTTTCTCTAGTGTATTATGGGTCAAACTTGTTTAGCTAATTACAAAAAAAATATTTCTGATCAAACATAGTTCCGTGTAAGGCTGTAGAAGTTAAGTTAGTTTGTATCCGGTTTCTTTTGTGGCGTGGATCCTTGACAAAACGAGCACACCCACTTCCAAGCCGCTGTCATGAGACGGGGAGGGCGGACACAAAAGTCCCGGAGCAGGTGAGCGACAAGCCGGACAAGAAAATGCGAGACACAACCGGAAGTTGGCTTGTGAAGTTTCAACATAAAGTACGTAAAAGGCTTGTTGATTTGAATCCTCTTCAGTCTTTCAGTATTTGAACAAACCGCTATAAGATAAATGTGAAAATCAAATAAGGCCTGAAGTATTTTCAAACTAGACGAGAGAATAAAATCAACATATTTATTTATCACCCTATTAACTTCATGTTCTTGGGGAAACATGGTATTGTTTAATCAGTAATTGGAAAAAATAAATATACTTTGTCGAATAGTTGTGTAATTAAATAAAAAAAATCCAAGTATTTTTTTAATTATTAATTTTAATTATGCCCTTAATCTGAAGATAGTACCCGGAAGCGGAATCGGACTTTGTGAAACTTTATTTGGAGATTCTTGTGTAGTTGTGGTGTCATGGGAGCGACTTTATCTTTACAGGGAAACAGCAGGTGTTAAAATACATTCAGGAAAAAGTACAGAAACTATGAAAAGAACATGACTTTACTGGAACTTTACACAAAGGTAAGAAAAAAATCACTTTTCGACGGTAGTAATTACATAATTATAATAGACTATAATGTTTGATGTATTTTGAGGTGTAAAGAGACATATGGACGCTTTGTCGGTACTTTGGCATGTTAGAAAGATTTATTCGGAATGGATTTGTAAAACGTGACCCATTTCTGAACAATGTTTTAAATGTTTAAAATGTATTTGTTCTGTGTTTCATCCTAATCATTGTTTTTAGTGTAATAGATGACAGTCATTCTACTGTCCCCTGGTTTCCTTCAGTATAACAGAGTGTGGATACCAGATGCAGAGCAGGTGTGGAAATCAGCTGAAATTACAAGAGATTTCCATTCTGGGGACGATGTTCTTGAACTACTTTTTGAAGATGGCACTGTAAGCACTAAAGTGACACAACTTTGTCACTGGAATGAATTTAGACATGAAAATCAGCAGCTCCTCTCATTTAACTTGTCCCTCCAACAGGACTACAGATACCCTGTTGACACATCTCAACCCAAACTCCCTCCTCTTCGAAACCCAGACATCTTGGTGGGCGAGAACGACCTCACAGCTCTCAGCTACCTGCACGAGCCTGCAGTCCTGCACAATCTCAAAGTGCGATTCGTTGAATCCAGAATCATCTATACGTACTGTGGTATGGTTGCAAGAAGTTTTCTCAAACCTTGTGCACACGTAGTTTCCCAGTTTGTGACTTTAATTGGCTCAGGCTGTTTTGTTTCCTCTTTTCAGGTATTATTCTAGTTGCTGTAAATCCATACAAACAGCTTCCCATCTATGGAGATGCAATCATTCATGCCTACTCAGGCCAGAACATGGGGGACATGGATCCTCATATATTTTCAGTGGCAGAGGAGGCGTACAAACAGATGGCCAGGCAATAAAACCCTCAGACAATCGCGTAAAAAGATAAAGTCATAGAAGTTCTAAAGTTCATTTTCTCTTTCAGAAATCACAAGAACCAGTCTATCATTGTGAGCGGAGAGTCTGGAGCTGGTAAAACGGTGTCAGCTCGATATGCTATGAGGTACTTTGCTGTTGTGAGCAAATCTGGAAGTAAGACTCGAGTTGAAGACAAAGTGTTGGCATCTAATCCAATAACAGAGGTACAGCGTTTATCAAAGCAAGCGTTTGACTCAAAACAATGTATAGCACTAAATAAGTTTACATCTCAGAATATACAAAGTTTTTTTATTATTTTTATAAGGCCATAGGGAATGCAAAAACCACTCGAAATGACAACAGTAGCCGGTTTGGAAAATACACAGAGATCGGCTTTGATAGGAAGTACCGGATCATTGGAGCAAACATGAGGACTTACCTGCTGGAGAAATCCAGAGTTGTTTTTCAGGTGACAAATTTTGATAAGGACGTGTGTTTTATTCATTCAAATTTGATCTATAAAATGATTCTAAGTTGTTTGTTTTTTCCTAGGCAGAGAATGAGCGCAATTATCACATATTTTACCAACTGTGTTCATGTGCAGACTTGGTGGAGTTCAAGAACCTGAGACTGTGTGAGTGTTTGTACTTATTTCTCCTGATTTATCCTGAAGGTTTGACTAAGATGTGCCTCTGCTTCACTGTTATAGCATTGAGTCCAATTATCTTTAAACTAACTGAGGAGCTAATGTTACATATCAGGCATATTTTTTTTTTAATAAAATCCCAAAGTCCATGCTCAATAATCCAGGTATAAAATCCAACAATGTTCAGTCAGGTCATCTGGATGGCTTCTTTCTTTGTGCTGAGACGTTTCGCCCTCCATCCGAAGAGCTTCATCAGTCTGAGGAAATGCCAAACAAAACTGATTCTCCAACACCTTACAGTGGGAAAAAAAACAGTTATGTTGGTGCTAAGATGGCCTCAGGCTATCTCCGCACAAAGAAAGAAACCATCCAGATGATCTAACTGAACATTGTTTGGGTTTAAATAAGAACATTTTCAAAAAGCTGTCATAACACCAGTAGATTTTATTTGTACTTTATTTCAAATCCCCAATTTTGAAAAGGTTGGAAAATATAAAAAGTTAAAAAAGCAAAATGCAATGTTTTGCAAATTTCATGATATTCTATCAATAAAACATAACAAATGTTTAAAGTAAAAGTTGTATTTAAAATAAGGTAACTTTGAATGTTATGGCAGCAACACACAGGTAAAATAGGGCCATGTTTCCCACTACGTGAAACATCCTCTCTTCTCTTAACACCAGTCTGTAAATGTTTAGAAACTGAGGGGACCACGTGTTGGAGTTTGAGAGTAAATATGTCTAATTCTTGTCTGACGTGGGATTCTAGCTGTTCAGTTTCTGAATTTCTTTGATGATGCGTCAGTGTTTTCAGTTGAGTGGAGCTCTGGACTGCTCAGTTCAGCTCCTGGGCTCTTCTTACAAAGCCATGCTCTTTTAATATGTTTAATATAAAATATGCAAAGCCTTCCTTCAAAAAGACATGGTCTGGTTGGGAGAATGTTGTAAAAACGTTGCTGCATTTATCTGTGTCTTTACAGATCATTTTATCTGTTATCTTTTTTTCATTTCAAATGTATCACAATGGAGTATAAACCCAGAGCAGCTATGACAGACGGAAACAAACTCATAGGAAAGGTGAGTTTATTTACAGTGAATGATGACACATTTACAGGAGGCTGTGGGAAACCTGTAAAGGAGGAAGAGGGTGCTGTGAGGGTGACCATGTTTTGAGGATGATGAGACTTTCCTTTCCTTACAGGACTCTGTGAGGATGACTGGTGTCAAGAGGAGGGCGGAGGAATCCAGGTAGGTATGATGAGAAGATGAGGAGGCCAAGGAAGTAGCAGGGGTTCCAGAGTGAGTTGTAAGCAGGCAGAGGAGCAGCTAGACAGGTCCAGGTCGGAGGCAAGAGCTCGCTGGAGTTCCAGTGGAAGCTCGCCTTGAAGACACCAGGAGGAGAAACCGTTTCCAAGATTGGTCTCAGGTGGATGACTTCTAGAAACTGGGAAAACACAGGTGAGTATAGTTTTACCGAAAGGCGCACTGAAAGGCTGAACATCAGTACCGGTTGTTTAATGGTCCTGCAGGGAAGGGAGCATTTCCTCAGCCTCTTATACTCCTGGAGCTCGTCATGGGACGTGGTCACAGCTGCTGCTTGTTGGTGCTGCCCAGAACTCCCAAACCTGCAGAAGGAGAAACACTGGAATCTGTGGTCCAGAGAAGATGGCGGCATTTCTAGACGTTCACATATGGCTTCCTCTTTGCACGACAGAGCTTTAACCAGTATTTGTGGATGGCACTAAACGGTGTTTACAGACGATGATTTGTGGAAGTGTTCCTGATGTCCAGCACACAGAGATTCAGCCCTAAAAGACTTTCATCCATCTGTTGTCAGTTAATCTAACTTTTTGCATAATGCTAGTCCAGCTGTTTCTTGTTCACACTTACTTTTCCAGCCTTTTGTTGTTCCCGTCCTGTTTTTTATTGGGCTGTGTTGTTGTATAAAATTCTGAATTAATTTTCTTTTTTTTAAACATTTGATATGTTTGCTATATTTTATTGTAAATAAAATGTCATTTCATGAGGTTTGCCAATTGTTGCTTTTTTTTTCTTTTCATTTACGTTTTACACATATCCCCAACTTTTGTTACTAGAGTTATATGTAACAAAGTTAAACCTTCAGTCATGCACATATAGGTTTTTAAATTCATGTAACAACACGATGGTTTATTTGCAGTGAGCGCAGATAAGTTCAGATACACTTGCATGGGCGGTGACATCACCATCGAAGGTGTAGTTGACAAGAAAGACATGGAAGAAACTCGACGGACCTTCTCACTGCTGGGTAAATCCAAGTTTTTAGAAAGCATTTTGCTTCTGATGAACTTGGTTTTACTCGTCTTCTGCTCTCTGACGTGCAGGTTTAAAAGAGGACTTTCAGTCAGACGTTTTTAAAGTTTTAGCAGCGATTCTGCATTTGGGAAACGTGGAGATCAGAAGTTCGGGAGATGATAAATCATCCGTTCCTGTGAGTATTTTTCTCTCGAACGTGTTCCAATCTTAAAGCTTTAACCAGGTTAAAGTAATAGTTTGATTTGTGTGTTTCACAGTCTAACGATCCTCACCTGGCAGTCTTCTGTGACTTGTTAGGTGTGAAGGCAGAAGAACTGGTGCGCTGGCTGTGCCACCGGCGAATCGTTCTGGTGGCAGAGGCTGTTGTCAAACCGGTGCCCAAAGAGCGAGCTGTGAACGCCAGAGATGCCCTGGCGAAGCAGCTCTACGCTCATCTGTTTGACTGCATCATCAACAGGATCAACGCTGCGCTGCAAGTTCCTGGAAAACAACATGCGTTCATGGGTGTCCTGGACATTTATGGGTAATTCAAATAATGCTTTTGTTTTATTATCTCGTGGTCCCTTTCTCCGTCTTCATACTTGTGTGTGGTTTATTTGCCCTCAGGTTTGAAACATTTGACATCAACAGCTTTGAACAGTTTTGCATCAACTACGCGAATGAAAAGCTCCAGCAGCAGTTTAACTTGGTACTCAGCACCGTCTACCATAACCACATCTTGCACACACGGCAGTTTAACAGCTCGGACAGTTTTGACTGCAATCTTATTTCCTTTTAGCACGTTTTCAAGCTGGAGCAGGAGGAGTACATGAAGGAGGACATCCCTTGGACGCTGATAGATTTCTACGACAACCAGCCTGTCATCGACCTGATCGAAGCAAAGATGGGGATCCTGGACTTGCTTGATGAAGAATGTTTAGTAAGATTTGAACTCTTTCAGTGTTTTTTTTTGTCTTTTGCCCTTTATTGTGTGAAATTATCACTAACACACAATAATGTGTTTTTTTTTTATTCTTGCAGTTCCCTCAAGGGACTGATCAGAGCTGGCTGCAGAAATTGTACAACTACCTGGATGCCAATCCTTTGTTTGAGAAGCCCAGGTTATCAAATGAGGCTTTTGTGATTCAACACTTTGCAGACAAGGTGGAGTCTAAAGACCAAGTGTGCACAACATGTAGCTTCCAAAGCAGCTCCGTTACAAATACCTCTGTTACTCTTAAAATCCTGATCTTTACGGTTCCCGAATGGACATTGTGCCATTCTTTGTCTCTCCAGCTTTATTCTTGAAGGATAAAACACTAAACTAGAAGTTGTGACAATTTAGGGCTTTGTTTTAAACTTTTGAATGAACACATTTTGCATCCTTAACGGCTAAAATGCAACACTTGGTGCTGAAAACGTTCACATTGACAACAACTGTGTTACTGGATTGGTGGTAGTTCTGCTGTTTTTAGTGTCTGTACTGACAAAATTGAACTGATTTATTTCAATAACTGCTTTTATTTGTTGTAGCTCCTTCCACAGAGTAGGAGCACAATGCTTTGGAGGAATCTAATGCAAAGCAGCTGTGCAGTGACTAAATGAAACAGCGTTATTTGTATGATTAGTTTCATTTGTCTCTCCCCTTACAGCCCTTAGTTGACCTGAGTGTTCCTATTTGCAGTGCAAATGCAAACAGAGACAAGGCCAGTAAAGTATGTTGTGCTTCAGGAAACTGAAAGTCAAACAGCTACAGGTACTATGGGTAGTTACTTTAAAATGCAGAATTAAGTTAATTTTTGTTCTGTGGGAGAGAATTTGGATTTATGGAAACATCTCAGATACAGGTTGAGCATAAAAACTCAAATCAGAAAGGTCTTAGTTGAAATTTGAACCGGGAACCAAACCATCACTCGACTGTCCAGCCCTTCCTTCTTTATTTAAACTTTGATCTTTTTACCTACAACTCTGGTTTATTAAAGGCACATTAATGAAATACACTTTTCAAAGATGCTTTAGATTCTTAAAACTTATACACATGTCCAAATTATTTACCTTAAGGATGATTTCTGCACCGAGCTGGTTATTTTTAGATGGTGTAATTTACCCAGACTTTGGTTGTTTACCAACAGGTGGAATATCAATGCAGAGGTTTTCTCGAGAAGAACCGAGATGCTCTTTACGAAGAACTTGTGAACACAATGGGGACCAGTAAGGTGATCGAGTTTGTGTTTTCTCATTTGAAATTATGTGCACGAGTGTTTTTGCATCTGATAATCTCAATTTAACCCTTTTTTTTGTTCACATTTGTTGTCAGTTTTTGTTTCTGAGAGACTTTTTCCAAGAAAAGGAGCAAAACACCACAAACTCTAAAGGTGTGAAAGTGAAGCCGGCCAGGCCTTCGTTGAAACCAGCCAATAAACAGCTGAGAACCTCTGTGGGAAACAAGGTGCACATTTTCACTGCTCGCTCCCTCGGCTTGCTGCAGATTGAACCCAAAGTTTCTGAATCACTCTGCTTGACTGTAGTTCTGCAGCTCCCTGTCTTTACTGATGGAGACGTTAAACGCCACCACTCCTCACTATGTGCGCTGCATTAAGCCTAACGATGAAAAACGTCCGTTTGAGTGCGTACTCTTGAATTCTATTTGTATAATTTGCTTCTTGCTCGCTGAAAGCACGTGCTTGTGTATTTGATTTAAGCGAGTGTTTGCTCGTGCTTGAAGGTACGACTCTGGTAGAGTGGTGCAGCAGCTGCGAGCCTGTGGGGTCCTGGAAACTATTCGTATCAGCGCCCAGAGCTACCCTTCCAGGTAAAATGATCAAATATCATGTCTCTATTTCAAACTACTATGAATTATTAATGGTAAATGACAAAAATAATAAAAAAAATGTGTACAGACATAGGATGTTAGAATCTATAATAAAAACTATGAAAATGAGAAATAAAACGCATTATGTACTGTTTTCACTATTTTTTGTTTTACTTCTTATGACATAAAAATGTCTTTTTCGGACTATAAGGCGCACTTAAAATCCTTTAAAATTTTTCTCAAAAATCGACAGTGAGCCTTATAATCTGGTGTGCCTTATGTATTAATTCTAGTTGTGCTTACTGACCTTGAACTAATTTTATATGGTACATGGTGCTCAAAAAAAACAACAACAGGAAATGTTCCTGTGGTGGTTTTGCTTTGCTTAGTGTGCCTTACAATCTGAAAAATATGGTAAAAAAAAATTACCATTTCTTCCTTTCTGGTTAGCGGGGGTTACTGGTGCCCATATCCAGCAGTCACTGGTGCAAGAAGCAGGGGACACCCTGGACAGGTCACAAGTCCATCACACGGTGTAAAAGAAAACATCTAAAAAAAACCTTTTAAATACCCATCCATCCATTATCTTTTACCTGCTTCTTCCATTTTGGGTCATGGGGGTTGCCGGTGCCCATATCCAACGGTCACTGTGCGAGGGGCGGGGGACACCCTGGACAGGTCACAAGTCCATCACACAATGTAAAAGAAAATATCTAAAAAAAAACAAAACAACTTTTAAATACCCATTAAAAAACATGAAATAACAGAAGATGATTCCATTAATGGTTTAATCGTTTTTGCCTTTTATTGCTTGCCACCATGAAAGATGAGCAATTATGTAACCCTGTGTGTGTGTGTGTGTGTGTGTGTGTGTTAGCAAAATATCTCATGAACCTCTGGAAATTTTAAATGAAACTCTCAGCAAGTAATGTACACCTCTACAACTGATTAGTTTTGTAGGTTTTCCCAAATTTAGATGGCCACCACAGTTAACAGACTTTTGAAACACAAAACGCTATGACTCATTCAGTTTTACAGAATTTGAGCTAAATATTGGTGTGGTAGTAGCTGAGAGTCATTTCTGTACATATTTCTACAAGATACTTCATTAAAATGTTTGCAAGCAGCAGGTGATGAGCATTCCTTCAAGGAACACTAGTTTCCATACATTTTCCTCTAAAGTCAAATTTTTTTTTTTTTTTAAACAATATTTTGATAAATGTAGGTCATGACCTTTTGCTTTCAACATAATTTGGGGTCTTCTAAGATTTTCAAGTCCTGAAATTTGAAAGTGTTTAAATTAACAAATGTAGTCGTTATTTTTCTCCAATTTTATGTTTTAATGGTGTCATGCTTATTTCCCTGCACAATGAAGAGGTATTTTTATATGGCAGAATAAAATAAGATTACCTATTGGAATATAATGTAGTTATTAGTCTGAGATGTTGCATTTGTCACTTTGTTTTGTTTTTTTACTGACGTAGTTTTGATTTCATGTGTGATTTGCAACATAGTTTGCTGTCTATTACTCCAACAAGTTGGATTTCTGACATTTTTTTAAATTTCAGTATCATTTTTGCAAGTTTTTTGTTGAACAAGTTAAAAGGTGACTAGAAAATTAGGGAAAAAAACGTTTAACATATATTTTAAAGTAATTTATTGGCATAGGACCATTTCTTTAACTTATTTAAACCTTCTTCCAATAAATACAAATGTTTTAACTCTTTTTCACAATAAAACATATTTGCATCATCCGTAAACTTTACAAGCTGTAACAAATATAGCATTGACGTACAAAAAGAATTAACAATGACCCCAACACTGAACCTTGGGGTACTCCGCAGCAAACCTTTTAATAAATTGGAATCTGTGCCATTCATTTGAACATATTGCTGTTTGTTTACTAAGTGCTGTCTTCACTAACACAGCTTTATTCATCTCGACACGTTAGCTATATCTTCTGCAGCACTTTATGAACAATTAAATCAGATATTTTGAGATCTAACAATATCCACACGACAGATTTTTAAATATATTTAGCAGTTATTTTCTTTACAAATTTAATAAGTGCAAACAAATTAATCTTCAAAATTAATTTTGATGTTGAAAGTTGCTGTTTTTTTCTCTTCAGGTGGACGTACATTGAGTTTTACAGTCGATACAGTATCCTAATGTCACACGAGGAGGCTAACCTCAGAGACAAGAAACAAACCTGCAAGAATGTGCTGCAGAAGTTGATTCAGGTTAGCTTTCTGGTTTTTATTGCATCTCTTACTGTAACCATTAAAACTGCACATTTATGTGTCACTTCTTCTGTTCGTCTCCAGGACTCCAACCAGTACAAGTTTGGCCGGACAAAGATCTTCTTCCGAGCCGGTCAGGTAGCTTATCTGGAGAAGCTGCGTCTGGATCGACTTCGAGCAGCCTGTGTGACCATTCAGAAACACTTACGTGGATGGAGCCACAGGAGGAGGTACCTGAGGGTGAGGGAGGCAGCCATCATCATTCAACAGTACATCCGAGGGAAGAGGACAATTCGGTTAGGCCATTCACGGACCGTACACTACAGTACTGCTGTTACTTTAAGATCGAGGTTTTAAAGTTGACGAATACTTGTAAACATGCAGTAAAACGGTGAGCGCTGTAATGCTGAAGCAGGGCTGGGCGGCTCTGGTGATCCAAAGACACTGGAGAGGATACCGCATGAGGCAGGTCTTCCAGGTGGTCCGTCTGGCCTCCATCACCATCCAAGCCTTCACAAGAGGTTGGATGGCCAGAAAACGCTACAAGAAGGTCTGAAACTAAAGTCCTGTTTATGCATCATTGGTTTAAATTGTTGTGCTGTAATCCAGATCATTTTCTTCTCTCAGATGATGGAGGAACACAAAGCACTGGTTTTGCAGAAATATGCCAGAGCATGGTTGGCACGGCGACGGTTTCAAACCATGCGCCGGCTCGTGCTTAATGTCCAGCTTTCCTACAGAGTTCAGCAGCTCCGTAAGAAGATTGACGAGCAGGTGACGGTGCTTCTGCAGTTAACTCAGCTTTCAGTTTTCACTCAAGCCATTAACTACATCTCTGTATCCCGACAGAACAAAGAGAATCGTGGACTGATGGAACGACTCACGAGCTTGGCCAACTCTAATTCTCAAACTGTGGAAAGACTTCAAAGTCTGGAGGCGCAGCTGACAAAATTAACCACTCAGAAGGCTTCTCTGGAGGAAAAAGAGAGGAAAGCCAAAGAAGAAGCTAGTCTGGTTAGTACTGAAGTTAATGGTGAAACTTTGGTTTCTGTATTTTTATTTTGTTTTCCACTGAAGCAGATTGATTTCACTTCTTCATTGTAACTCTAGACAATTGCTCGGCTTCAGAAGGAAATAGAAGCACTCAGCCTTGAAAAGCAGAACTTGGAGAAAAAGTTTGATGTGAGCATCAAAGAGGCCAAAGGTAAAAAGTGTCAAAATTCAGTTAAGATTGTTGACCTTTAATATTTTTTTATAACTTCTTGAAAACGTATGCATTTTTTGTAAATACGACCTGAATCATCATTAAATTAGCATCTGAGACTAAATTATTAGACATGGATCATTTTTGGTCTGAACAATAAACATTTATATCAAGATTAGCAGGTAATTTGAAGGTGAGGTCCTAGTTGTATTCAATTAGTAATATGTAATGAAATGTGTTTTTCTTGATTGTTTTATGTAACGAACATAAATCAACAGTGCTTTTACATGCAAACATGAAATAAAACGAGTCCAACTACTGAAAAGTAGTTTTCAAAACACTCAAAATATGTAGCTTTATCTGAGTACCCACCCATAAAAATGATGTCAAAATAATTTAATCATTTATTCAGACATTAACCACGAGGCTGCCATAACAACCAGAATGATTTTGTCCCACATCGCAAAGTGAAAAGAAGGAATTAGAAATACACTTCGTCCACTCCAACCATCCTTCCTTCGGTCCATCAGTAAATGTTAGGCGTGTGAGGTACCGACTTCCATTCTGGTTTCTGGCTGCATCTAAGTGTCAGAAAGATTCATTTCGAAAATTGGGTTGCCATGTCAAAATCCAAGATGGCCACCACCATATATATATGTAAACTTGCCACGCCTATCGTTTGAGGAAACTATGCTTTCTAGTTTTTATATTGCTTAAAGTTATAGTTTCCTCAAATGACTGGTGTGGCTGGTGGGGTGGCCGAAGAATGATTTCCACCACTGGCCAACCACTGACTCCACCATTCACCTGGTGCTGGATAAAATTGCTCCCTCCGCTCGACAGGATGCGTCACTCTGCTCTCCTTCAGATTAAAAAAAACAAAACAAAAAAAACCCCACCTCTTTTCTTATACACAGTGTAACTCCTACCAACTTGAATATTTTGCACCAAAAACATAAAGGTTTAATTGTATTCCTTGTTCTATTCAAGTCCAGAAAAACACTCATCAAAGATGCTCCAAACATTCACTATTCAAATCCTTCAACATCAACGTATCGCTTGTTTAGTTAACATTTTCTCCACTGAAAGCGGGCCTTCAACTCACTTTTGTGTCGTGACCCATAAGTAGAGAATCGCTGGTCTACAGCAGACTGACTGTTTGCTGTTCTTTTGACCACACGTTTAACCAATCTTTGAATCTTACAGAGAGCTTTGATCAAATAAAAAGGAACCTCCTGGATGAGAAAGAAAATGAAGCCAGGCTTAGAAAGTAAGTTAATAAAATATGCAACAAACATTTTCATCAGATTGACGTAGATGATTATGAATGAGCTGCTCCTTGGCAGGATCGCAGAGAATAACACTGAGATCCAGAGACAGGACCACGAGAAAGAGCTGGAAACTCTGAAGGAGGAGATAAAGAGACTAAAGGAGGACAGGGTGAGTCTGCAGAGGAAGATGGAGGAGGGTGCGCAGGTGAACTCTGAGCTGCAGGAGCAGGTCGTTCAGCTCACCAAACACGTCAAGGTCATTCCAGAGCTGCGCAGGGATCTGAACAACATGCAAAACCAGAGGAACAGCCTGGACCGAAGGATGAAGGAACAGTCAGAACAAGCAGCAGGTAAAACCGTCAGCTCAAATAAAACTTCTAATATTTTAAACACACAAACCATGAACTAAATACACTTTTCTGCAGATAAAGTTAAGAAGATCATAAGACAACTTCTTGGTGATGTTGTTGAAAAGGAGAAACTTTTGGGGTAATTCTGTGTTTGTCAGTCTCTGTTTGTCTCGAAACATTTAATCTCACAGTGTTTCTCTGAAGGCTCGCTCCTGTCAACTTTGAGAAGGTTTATGACCCTGATGATTTGCTGGCAACCTTCGAGGGCCTGCACGAAGCCGCCAGGTCCAAATCTTCACTGTGATCCACTCCAATTCAAGTTTGCACCTTGATAACTTCAAATCCTTAAATACTTCATATTTATTGGCAGGATTCTGGAAAGCCACCAGAGGGAACTCAGGGAGAGCCATGAGACTCAAGTGGAGGGCTTGGTCCTAAAAGCGGACCTCCTTCAAAATGAGAACAGCAAGCTGCAGAATCTCTTCCAGGAAAAAATTAACGTCAATGAAGATATTCACCAAGAAGTGTCGAGGCTGAGCAGTGAGAACTCTGTAGGTTATTATGATCCTTGGATTTTTATCACCGAGGTGGATAAAGTGCAGTGTGATGTGTTTTTAATGTGTTTTTAATGTGACGCAGGTTATACCTGAGCTGAAACAGCAGGTTTTTGAGCTGCAAAGACATAAACAGGAGCTGGAGGGTTTTGTAAAGGAGCAGAGCCGAGAGTTAGCAGGTGTTTTTTTTTTTCTCCGTAGTCCTAAAATCTTACAATTAGTGTGTTGCAATTTAATCATAAAAATTAACTTTTGTTTGCTGTCTTCCTGAAGAAAAAAACACAGAGATAACCAACATTCTTCAGACAAAGTTTACAGAAGAAAGCTCACAGCGCAGGTAAAACCCCCTCTGTTCTCAAACAGCTCATTTGTTACACTTTTTGATGTTTTCGTGTGTTTTAGACTCTTTGAAGAGAGAGCCAGAGAGCTGGAGGAGGCGAAGGAGGAGCTTCAAGGGAGGATCAAGGAACTGGAAGAGGAGAAGGATCACTTGAGGAGACAGCAGCTGATGGAGAGTGAAGTCAAGGGAAAACTGAGAGAGGAGACTTCACGATTAACTGCAGAGAACATGGTGCGTTTGTGTGTCAGAGGAGAGTCTGAGTGTATGCGTGCACTAACAACAAGCAGAAACAACAATATTTTTTATTGCAGGACTTCGAAGAGCAGCTCGACCAGAAAGATAGACTAATAAAGAAACTCCAGAGTCAAATAAAGTGCCTTGAAATATCATCAAAAGGTAGTGCTGCAGTTTCTACAATAAAAGTGACATCTTAAATCAATGTAGGTTCATCATATTTACTGTTTGTGTTTATTTTTTCACGCAGCAAAACAAAATTCAGTGTCTGTCATTCCCAAAGAATACCTCGGCATGTTGGAGTACCAGAGAGACGATGAGTCCAGGCTCATTCAAAATATCATCCTGGGTATTCTCTTCCTCTTCCCTTTCCTTTACTCACGTGATCATCTTAAACGTGGATTCTGAAAATAATTTTGTCTTCAGATCTGAAGCCCAAAGGTGTGGCGGTCAGTATGATTCCCACCCTACCTGCGTACATCCTGTTCATGTGTGTCCGACACGCCGATTACCTGAACGATGACAGAAAACTCAAGTCTCTCATGAACGGGATGATTGTTGCTGTCAAAAAAGTCATCACGGTGAGAAAAAACACAGTCGGTTTGCCTGTAATGAAGAGTAAAGATAACCCTGGATAAAATGTGAAGGAAAAACTGAACCGTGATCGGGAAGTTATTTAAATTTATGATTTAATTGAAAATACATCAAAGAAAACTTATCAAGTGAATAACTCAAAAACAAAATTTCTTTGTAATAATATCTGAATTTCCACTTTATCTTGGAAAAGCTTATTTACTGAAGGAGGAACTGAGGCAACGTTGAGAAAACTCACCACACGGCCCTCTGACAAAATGTGCAGCAGCAAATTTTTTGTTTATCAAACTCAAAACAAGGAAACTCATTCCTTGAAGAAATCAAATCGCTCTGTCTTGTTTTCAACACAGATGTTGCACAGTTTCTTAGCCCTCCGAGTATGTACTGGTGATCAGTCTCAGCTACTACCACACCGAATTTTAGCTCAATTTTACGAAAGTGACGTTTGCTGGTTTGGTAGCCATGTTGAGTCTTTGACTCAAAAAGTAATTTGGTTGTAGATGTGTACCTAGTGGCTGCTCTCTAGAAGTTTGATTAAAATCTGTCCACTGGGTCATTGGATGCAAACAGACTGAACAATATTCACACAAACCAACACACAGACCTGGTTAATTACATGATCGCTCGTCTTTTTGTGGCAGGTGATCAAAAGGCAACAAATCACAGATGTAATCTTTTCTGGCAATAGAGTTCTGTTCTCCAAAAAGAATATTAAAGTCTGGTGGTTTATTGCTGTTTTTTTGAACCAGCTTTGAAGAAAGTACAACTTTTACTGACTCCTGCTGTTTTACCTGCTCTGGTTTAAAGCAAAAAAAAATAAATTCATAAGCTAACAAAATACCACTAACAATCATATATAATTTATCTAGTTATGTAATTTTATCCAAATCTCAGACAAATTCTAATAATTAGAAGGTACGATAAAGGTGAAAAGCTTCTACAAAATGTGACAGAGGAGATCTCAAGTCTGCATTAAGTGTAGAAGCACTAGACTGAGGAACAGCTTCTACCCTGAAGCTGTTAGACTCATGAATATCTAACCAGGATAATCACAATTTCAGTTCAGTTTCTTTATATACAGTGCCAAATCACAACAAAGTTGTCTCAGAGCACGTTACAGAAACATTCACATACATAAAAAAGCCAGTTAGTAAAGTTCTCTATCCAAGGAAGCCAGCAGACATGTTGAATCTTCACTTCGTCGACGTCTCCCATAACTGTGAAAAAATAAATCACTGTAATGCCACGTTGAATATGTGCTGCTGACTATCAGTGCTGCTGATCTCATGCTGCTGATTTATTTCATGCTGCTGATTTATTTCATGCTGCTGTGTTCATTCATGCTCATCTACTCACACAGACTCATGTTCGTGCTGCTGCTGTTAGATCTTATTCCTGTTTTTCTTTTACATTTTATACCTTTGTTGGATGTAACTGGGACCCTGTGTACACAATTTCGTTCCACCACATGTACCACGTGATGTGAATGATGATAAAGAAACCTTGACCTCAAACTGTTGAGCAGCTTAACTTCTCTGCTAATTAAGAATCGGGTAAAAATGTCACTTTCAAAACTTAAAGAGCTCTCCTCGGTCTTAAAATAAATTTAATTCAAATTCTTGTTTTTTTTTTCCAAAAACAATAAACATGTTTAATTGTTTCTTTGCTTAAGTATGAGCATTGGTGACCGTGTTTCATGAGTCTTAGTGAAAAGTCTGTAGAAAATAAAAGTAAGCTGAAGGAGTCTCTGTTTACTTTCATTAAATCTATGAGATAGTTGATAAAGTCTTTTAAGGGGGAGTGGTGGCGCAGAGGTTAGAAGATGGGCCTGTGATTGGAAAGTTGCAGGTTCAACTCCTGGTACTGTCAACATCAAAATGTGGGTGGAAAAGGTGAAACACCCACACCTGCCTCCACCCTCATTGGCCCCACTCTGGGTCCCTGAGCAAGGCCCTTAACCCCCACCATCTGCTCCCTAAACAGGTCTCTCTTGAAAATGAGTTTTCGTGGCTCAATGAGACTACCTGGATAAATAAAGGGTAAATGAAATTAAAACAGTGTGTGTTCCTTAATAGGCTTTGAGACGATAGAGACCTGAGACTGTTGATATTTTTCTGTTTCAGGCTCACCACAAAGACGCTGAGTTTTTGTCCTTTTGGCTGTCGAACACACATCAGCTGCTCAACTGTCTGAAACAATACAGCGGGGAGGACGTAAGAATCTACTCACCTGTACTTTGGCTTTTAACCTCTCAGTATTCTCACGTATGGCAAAGTGGAAGTTTTTTATTTGTTTGTTTTGTCCTTGTTAGGAGTTCCTGAAACAAAGCACCCCTCGTCAGAAAAAGAACTGCCTGCAGCACTTTGATTTGTCCGAACACAGACAGATTCTCAGTGACCTGGCCATTCACGTCTATCACCAGCTCATCAGTGGCATGCAGAAGACTCTCACACCTGCTATTGGTATTCTTAAATCATGCACTGAATTTTATCCATGTTCTGAAACAAACTAGAATGTACGTTTGCGTTTTCTTCACCAGTGCCTGGTATGTTGGAGCACGAGAGCTTACAGGGGATCTCCAGCATGAAGCCGACGGGCTTCAGGAAGCGCTCCAACAGTGTTTATAACGACTCTGAGAGCTACACCATCTCCTCCATTCTGCAGCTGCTCTCCATCTTCCACTCCACCATGAGCCACCACGGCATGGAGCAGTGCCTGATCAACCAAGTCGTCAAACAGCTGTTCTTCCTGGTGGGGGCCACCACCTTCAACCACATCATGCTCCGCAAAGACATGTGCTCCTGCAGGAAAGGGATGCAGATCAGGTGTGCGCTTTGGTTTTGTGCGATCTGACGGCTGGAAAAGCTGAAGATAAATCAGCCTCAAAGTGTACAACAAGATTTGTGTGCATACAATAAGATCCACAAGCGTAACACAAGTTTTACAAATGTACCACAACATTCATGATTGCATGTACAGTTTTTCAAATGAACACATTCATCTGAATCTGGAGCTGCAAGAAAGTCTCAAAAGTCACATTCAGACGAGATGAGCCGCACGTTCATGTTGACTGATTCATCCACAGCAGGTGATTTGTGCACGTGTATTTGACAACTTGTGTGCACGGAATATTCCTACTTGTGCAACCTGAACTGTTTATGCATTTGTAAAACTTGTGGTACGTTTGTGGCTCGTTTGGATTTTGAGATTTGTACACATACAGTACACATACGCTTACAGTGGTGCTTGAAAGTTTGTGAACTCGTTATAATTTTTTATATTTCTGCATCAATATGACCTAAAACATAATCAGATTTTCACACAAGTCCTAAAAGTAGATAAAGAGAACCCAGTTAAACAAAAGAGACAAAAGTATTCTACTTGGTCATTTATTTATTGAGGAAATGATCCAATATAACACATTTGTGAGTGGTAATAGTTTGTGAACCTCTAGGATTAGCAGTTAATATGAAGGTGAAATTAGGTGGTTTCAGTCAATGGGATGATGATCAGGTGTGAGTGGGCACCTTGTTTAATTTAAAGAACAGGATCTATCTAAGTGTCTTCACAACATGTTTGTGGAAGTGGATCATGGAGGAACAAAGGAGATTTCTGAGGAGCTCATAAAAATAGTTATTGATGCTCATCAGGCTGGAAAAGGTTACAAAACTTCTGTAAAGAGTTTGGACTCCACCAATCCACAGTCAGACACATTGTGTACAAATGGAGGAAATTCAAGACCATTGTTACTCCCCAGGAGTGGTGGACCAACCACATGTTCTCCAGGCAAATTCAGATAAGGTGGCCTTCAAGGCCAGCCAGGGGAGCCAAATTCAGATAAACACACAGTTGTTTTGGGGACAGGCAGAACTTAATGACATCTACCTTGAGTCTGTGTTGGTCCAAATGGTTCCGAAATGTCCAAATTACATGGACACACCGATGGAACATGACTGAGTAAAATCCCCGAGATCTGATCCATTCAGCCCAAAGCATTTGAGTCTGGGTACTCGAGGCATGAACCAAGACGTCATAAAGGCAAGCAGCGTGATCGGGTCCAAATTTGCTGCTGGCAACTTGATTGTAGATAAAACCAGCAACCAGCCAAATCCAAAAAGCAGGAACCAGTTATCGTAAATCCAATTAAATATGCGTCCTTAAAATTATGGTTCGGAAGAAATGCAAGAGAGTCTCAGAAGCAGTTTCACGACAGACAGAGCAGCAAAGCAAAGCGGAGAGGGAGGGGAAGGGAGAAGTGTCTGACCTCAGCAAGAGTATGTGACTACTTTTGACACTGATTTATCTTTATAGAAAAGGTTTGCTTTTAAACTTGTAGTGTTTATTTTATTTTTTAGGTGTAACATCAGTTACCTAGAAGAGTGGCTGAAAGAGAAGGAGCTTCAAAGCTCTAACGCTATAAAAACTTTGAGGCCATTGACTCAGGCTGCCTGGCTGCTGCAGGTCAGCAAGTCCACTGATGAAGACGCCAAAGAGATCGCTGAAAAATGCACCGAGCTCAGCCCTGTTCAGGTCGCTCCTTCAGTGATTCATCACTTGCTTACTTTCTGCCCTTTATGTTTTGGTTTCCACTAAAAACAAAACTTGTATTTAAATTTGCAGATTGTCAAGATTTTGAATTCCTACACACCCATAGATGATTTTGAGAAAAGAGTAACGTCCTCATTTGTCCGCAGAGTTCAGGTGAGTCCGGTGTTGGTTCATTCTCTTTTTACTGAAGTATTTTCCTCAAATATTTTTCCAAATATAAAAAATATACCAATCTGTTGCTTTTTACAGTCGTTACTTCAAGACCATGAAGGGTCCACACTGCTGATGTTGGACTCAGATTATCGTTTCCAGGTCACTTTTCCTTTCTGCTCGTCTTCCATGGCTCTGGAGTCGGTGCAGGTCCCGACCAGCCTTCATCTGGACTTCCTGACCAGGATCTGATCCGACACACTCGACCTTTGACCTGTGAATTTTCATGACAAACGACGCCTTTAAATGTCTTTAGTATTATGCCTGACTAAAGATATCATCTAAAGATACTTTTTAAATTATTCCATCCATCCATCATCTTCCGCTTGTTCTGAAGTCGGGTCGTGGGGCAGCAGATTGAGCAGGGAGGTCCAGCCATCTCTTTCCACAGCACCTCTTTCAGCTCTTCTGGGAGGATTCCAAGGCGTTCCCAGGCCAACCGAGAGATATAGTCTCTCCAGTGTGTCCTGGGTCTTCCTCGGGGTCTCCTCCCAGTCAGACATGCCTGAAGCACCTCCTTAGGGAGATGCCATGGGAGCATCCTTACCAGATACCCAAATCACCTCAACTGGCTCCTCTCGACGTGGAGGAGCAGCGGTTCTACTCTGAGTCTCTCCTGAATAATTGAACTTCTCACCCTGTCTCTAAGGGAGAGTCCATCTACCCTGCAGAGGAAACTCATTTCAACTTCCTGTATCCACAGTCTCACTTATTTTGGTCATTACCCACAGTTCATGACCATAGGTGAGGGTAGGAACGTAGATCGACCGGTAAACGTAGAGCTTTGCCTTACAGCTCAGCTCTCTATACCAAAACGAACCGGCACAAAGTCTGCAGTACTGCAGATGCTGCACCGATCCATCTGTCAATTTCATGCTCCATTCATCCCTCACTTCTGAACAAAACCCCAAGATACTTGAGCTCCTCCCCTCGAGGCAGAACCTCACCCTTGACCTGAAGAGAACACTCCACCCTTTTCCAACTGAGGATCATGGCCTCAGATCTGGAGGTGCTGATTCTCATCCCAGCTGCTTCACACTCGGCTGCGAACTGCTCCACTGAGAGCTGAAGATCACGGCACGACGACGCCAGCAGGATCACATCATCTGCAAAGAGTAGAGAAGGAATCCTGAGGCCACTGAACCAGACTCCTCCTGGTTGCACCGAGAAATTCTGTTTTTTTTTTATTATTAAAAATTAAAACACTTCATTACCAGAGCTGGAAATAAAAAATAATTTTCTATAATGCTAATTTGTAATTGGTGTTAATAAAATTTTGTTATGACCATTTAAATATATTTTCAATAAAATTGCAATTAGTTTTATGTTTGTCTTTTTATTTAAGCTTAGGTTTGTTATTTGAGTTCACTGAACCAAATAATTCAGTAAATATATTGTGGATATTATTTTTTTTTACTCTAAATAATATTTCATTCAATGTAAATTATGATGTTTTAGAGCTGCTGCATAACAGTTGCTATATTTATGCTGATTTAGGAATTGCACAGTTTTTCTGTTTTGTTTTTTCTGATCAAACTACTTCTGTATATGTTTAATTTTTCATATATTCCAACATTTTTCAGTCAGGTCATCTGGACAGTTTCTCTTTTTGTGCTGAAATGTTTCGCCTTCGATCCGGAAGGCGTTTCAGCACAAAAAAAAAAAGAAACTGTCCAGATGATCTGACTGAAAAATGTTGGATTTTATTCCTGGATTGAGCATGGACTTTGTTGTTTTCAACCAGTTTGACAAGACTGTCAACAAGGAAGAGGGCCGGCAATGGAGGAGGGGGCGTACCAAAGAGACCATCTTATCACAAGCAGAACTGGTTTGTTCCACTTTGGAGTAAGCTGTTGGGGAAAGAATCAGTTTTGTTGTGTGTTTCATTGACTGATGAAGCCTTCTGGATCGAAGACGAAACGTTTCAGCACAAAAAACGAAACTGTCCAGATGACCTGACTGAAAAATGTTGGATTTTATACCTGGATTATTGAGCATGGACTTTGTTGTTACTTCTGTATACGTTTAACTTTTCATATATTAATATTTCATCTTAACTCGGAATAGTGTTCTAATAACTTTTATAGATTTTTTAAAAATCATTTAACTTTATTTTAAAAAATCCCATAAATAATTATTGAGATTTATTATTTTTGCCCATTTTACTTTTCAGCCACTGTTTTTGATCATTTTCTCTTTATACGGTTTTCTCTATAGCCACCTTTCTTGTTGATTTTAGCTTTTTATGGTCTCACTGTTGTCATTTTATGCTTTTAGCTACAATATTGCTAAATTTAGCTTTCAACTACAAGTTTTGTTAATTTGATCTTTTAAATCTTATTATTTGTAGCTTTTAGCAATAGTTTTGCTGATTTTAGCTTTTAGCTATATGATTCTGCTGTATTTGGCCTTTTTTAATGTTCTGCCAAATTCTCTGTGGCTGTTTTGTAAATTGTAGCTTTTTGTTACAATTTAGCTAGTTTTGGGGCTTACTTATACAGTATATTTTTTATTTTAATCTTTTTACTAAAGGTTTTCTACAGTTGCCTTTTTGCTACTCTTGCTTATTTTAGCTTTTAGCCACTGTCTTGTTAATTTGGTCAGCTACCGATTTGCAAATGTTTTGCTTTTAGCTACTTTTACTAGTTTTAGCTTTAGCTCTTATTTCTATTCTGCTGATTTTAGGTTTAACGATTCACCAAGCTTTAGCAGCCATTTAGCAGTTACCTTCTAAAATATTCGTATTATTTGTATATTTAATGTGCCAAAGTTTGTTTCATGCTCCTAAAAACATTTTTAATGAAATGGATTGATTTAAAACCGTCATTTTAATGGTTTTCTTTTGACAAATGTCACCGTGCATCGTCTATCCTCTTTATTTATGCAAACAGCAAAATATTACTTTCTAAAAATGATATACATTATTTATCTGTGGAGTAGTGAGGATGCAGCCTCCTCCTCCTGTGGAAACAGCAGGAGCATCTTCTCCCTCCGTGACGTCATTGAAAGCAGCAGCATCAGCTGTTAGCTCCGCCGCCTGGAACAGCCTCTCCGCCGCTCCCCGCACAAAGACAACATTTATGAGATCCCCTCCAATCCCTGACATGGCGACTCAGGAGGTACAGCTGAACGAGACTCTGACCCATCTGAAAACCGAGTCTGAGACGCTGAAGACGAAGCTGGAGGAGGAGAGAGCGAAGCTGCACGACGTCGAGCGTGAGTCCTGAAAATGGAGCGAGGCCTCCATCACTCCTGCCTTCATCACGGCTCTAACAACTCTTGGTTTTATGTGTTTATTCGCTACGTCCTCGTGTTTTTTTTATGTATTTATTGTATTTAAACTCATCTATATGTTGGCGTTCACGGGATAGATTATTGATCAGACCGGCCGGATGTGAGCCATGTTTGCTTTCAGATGTTATCCTCTTCAGAGCTCTTATCCTCCTGGGGTTTAAATGGATGTAAAATAAAATCATGAAAAGAGGTTTTATACGTGCAAATTCATCTTATTTTAAGCAGATTATCATTTTGATCTGACTCTGGATTAATGCTGCCATCAGAAATAAAATTCAAGTGTAAAGCATGAATTTAATGCTCATAGTGTGTGTGTGTGTGTGTGTGTGTGTGTGTGTGTGTTTAGTGCATCAGGTGGCAGAGAAAGTGGAAGCTCTGGGTCAGTTTGTCATGAAGACCCGCAGAACTCTGAAGGGCCATGGCAACAAAGTGCTGTGCATGGACTGGTGTAAAGATAAGAGGAGGATCGTCAGCTCCTCTCAGGTCACACATTTTGTTCATGGTGCTGCTGAAACAGGAACAGGTTCACTTTTTCTAATTGTCTCAATGATCTTTTGTCACAGGATGGAAAGGTGATCGTGTGGGATGCTTTCACCACCAACAAGGTAATCGCAATGCCTTAATTTAAACACAAAAGCCATCAAAACAACATGCAATGGTTGCTTTTCTAAAGGCATGTGCTTGTTTTCAAAAAATAAAATAAATCAGGTTCAGAGGACAATAAAAAAAAGTTGCATGATGGTTTAAAACCTTATAGAGGGAGCAGAAATTTAAAATGACCACAACATTTCATTACATAAACTGAAATATTTAAAGGCATATTAAATTAGTTTGAAATGGGGTTTTGTGGAAAGGTTTTAAACTATGTTTACCTTGGAAGCTGACAATCAGATCTGGGCGTCAGACCCGACCTAAAGGGATAGTCTGGTCATTTTTGAAATGGTGTCCTGTCAAATGTGTAGTTATCAGTTCTTATTATCTACAACATTGATCATAGAGCAGAGAGAAAAGGACAGAAGTTTTCATCAAGCTTATAGTCAAACAAAGGATTAAATAACTGTAAAAACTGTGAAATAACATGTCAACTAATAATAAACTTTTACAGTTTTGTGTGAAACTGTTGAGATTGTCTGCGTTACTGCAAATGTGTAGCCAGTTTTCAGTTGTCCAGTCTCACCACGACTCACTTCCACTTTACTGGGCTCTACCCATTCTAGGTGTTTTTTAAATATAACTTAAGTGTCTCCTCAGTGTGTGTGGGAGGGGGAGTGGTGGTGCAGAGGCTAGAGGGCGTGGGCCCGTGATCAGAGGGTTGCCGGTCAACTCCCCGGTTCAACCCCCTGGACTGACTAGCAACATTAAAGGGAAAAAGGTGAAACACCCACACCTGCCTCCACCCTTGTTTGCCCCACTCTGGACTCATGAACAAGGCCCTTACACCCCCCACCCCCACCCCCACCACCACCAGTTGCTCCCTGGGCACCTTGGAAGGCAGCCCTCTGCTTCACATGTGTGCTCACATGCACAATGGGAAAAATGCAGATAATTAATTTCCCCGTTGGGGATTAATAGAGTACAATAAAAAAAATTAAAAATCATAACACAGCTGCCCGAAACTTGCACAGCATTATTTTTCATCCAAGACAAACACAACATCAGCTGGCAAATAAGTGAAGTCAAGTCACAAAACATTCACCGTGCTCTGCCACGGTTTCCAAAACTGACTTGGCTGAGTTGAGGTCACCTTCCCATTGTCGGTCAGAGTCCATACATCAAGTCCATTTGGTCTAGCTCCCTCTGGATTCTGTCATCCGCCAATAAGCACAAACATAGCTGCACCTCCTCGTAGTACCACTGTGTTTGTTGAGGCCATCTTATTGGATATATGTATATTTTGAAGTACATAAGAACAAATGTTGTGGTTGTGAAGTTTTAAAAATTGTGGCTCTGATTCCTGTGAAGGAGATGATCTCATGATAGATGCTGCTCTCTGTTGTATTGATGGCCTGCAGTCTGCTGACATTGAATCTTCCGCTTGACTCGGTTCACTCAGCCGAATGGGTCCTAAGAGAACCAAGCTGGAAATGGGTGGAATCACCCGGTGGAAGGACTGAAGCGAGTCGAGCCCTTGGAATTATATGTGAGCTGGCATAGGTTGTGCTCTGATGGTGCTGCGAGTCAGATTATCAGTCTGCCTACGATTATGTCTAGTCCATCAAAAGTGAACTTTCTGGTGAACTGATATAATCATTAGCCTCTCAGCACTATCAGCATAAACATGATCTACACTCAGAACACACATTTTCATGTTGTGACACTGACGTTCCAGTGAGAACACATCAACAAACTAAACCATGTATGCACAACTGTATAAAGACGATTCATGCTCTTATCAGCTCAAGGCTTGACTACTGCAATGCTCTGCACGTAGAAACCTCCCAATCTTCCATCAAACGACTTTAACTTGTACAAAATACTGCGGCCGGACTTACCCAACACTCCTAGACGTGAGCACATCGCCCTTGTTTTAGTTTCTTCCCGTCAGCTTCCAGTTCACTTTATAATGGATTTTAAACACAGGGGTGGCTGTGGCTGAGTGGTTAGAGCAGTCGTCCTCCAATGCAAGAGTTGGGGGTTCGAATCCACCAGTCACATGCTGAAGTGTCCCTGGGCAAGACACTGAACCCCTCATTGCCGCCAATATGTGTCCCAGAGATAGCACTCTGATTTGTCTTTGTAAAAGTATATTAGAGGGCTGTATGAATGGGTAAACACAGATTGTACTGTAAAGCACTTTGAGTATCTTAATAAGATACAAAGGTGTTATATACCATTTATTCACGTTTAAAGCTCTTAACGGTCTCACTTCACCTTATTTGGCTATCTAGTAGCTTTTTGTGAGTATGAAAGAAGCTTAAGATCAACTAATACTTCTTTACTGTTTGTTCCAAGGTATAAATGCAAATGTTGGCATGCCTTTTCTGTTGCCGCACCCAGACTCTGGAACAAACTACCTCGGGATTTGCCCTCAATCACTGATCTGGGCCTTTTAACATCTAATATTAAAACCCTTTTATTCAGGCAGCCTTTTACTTCCTAGTGGCACTCTTGGCATTTTTGTATTGTTTTTATTTAATTTTTTTCTACTTTTGTATTGTGAGGAACTTTGTGCTCCTTTTGGATATTGGAAAGGGCTCTATGAATAAACGTTCATTGATTGTTGATTAATGTCGGTGTTGACTGATTGGCTCTATTTACAGCTATATGACAGAACGTCACTTCATAAATGATCAAACTTTTAACTGTGTAACAAATAAAAGTCATAAAACCAATGCTTAAGCTCAGTGTCCAGGCTACTTGCAGTACAAACTGTTAACAATGGATTGGACAGTGCTGTGTGTTTGAACAACCTCAGGTTGGAGAAATACATTTAGTTTTGACAGACAGACAAGCTAACTGCTATTATTAAAAGGAGAAAAGGACAATGTCTTTATTTGTTGAGCTTCAGTTTAAAAACGTTTCATATAATATTTTCTATAAAGAGATTTGTGATCTCAATGGGATTTGCCTGGTTATTAAAGGTTAATAAAATGCAAACTTTATTTTGTGAGTTTTTACATCATTACAATGTTATCACAAAGTGCACCAACTGAGCTGCAGCTAGTTACTGGAGCTGCAAATAACCACAGAAGTCCGTGTGAATAACTGTGTAATGCAGAACTGACACAGATTTAACAGTTTAGAAAGTAGCATTCACATGAACCTCTGACATTTTCAGGATTAGAGTTGGTTTTAGGGTCAACAATCCATTTGGATTAGCCATTAGCTAAAAGAGCTATTTATTATCATTTATTATATTATTTGTTCATAACTTTTCAGCAGAACCACTTCTTAAAAGAGCTGAACTATTACTTAACAAGACAATTAAAGAAAAACAGGCAGGTACAAACATTTCACAAAGAATCTCAAACACACACTGTTTTTACTTTTTTTTTTTTAATCCTTTTCAGCCGAGTCCTGCTTTTTTGTAAAATCTAAATTTTACTATAAACTTTATTTAACTGGGGTTTAGTTCTTTATGTTATATTGGAAACAGAGTTTAAGTCACTGTGAAACCAGGAGATATAAAATAACTTTTACTGAAGAGGGATTGTTGACAAGTAATTTTTATATTGTTGACAAAATTTCTAATCTCTTTGATTAGTAATTTATTTAAAGACAATTTCCAGCACTTCTTATATCCATCATCTTATGCTTTCTAATGATGAATTCTCACCGTTTCATTCACACTCGTGCTGTTTGGTGTTGATCAGGAGCACGCCGTGACGATGCCTTGCACCTGGGTGATGGCCTGCGCCTACGCTCCATCCGGCTGCGCCGTTGCTTGTGGGTGAGTACGTTACTACTCCTGACACTAAATCTGTTTTTATTTGTTGTCGATGTTGGTGTTTTTTAAACTAGGCTTTTCCTTTCTATAACAGCGGCCTGGACAATAAATGCTCAGTGTATCCTCTGTCCCTGGATAAGAACGAGAACCTGGCTGCGAAGAAGAAGTCAGTGGCGATGCACACAAACTACCTGTCTGCCTGCAGCTTCACCAACTCAGACATGCAGGTGAGAAGACAGAAAAAAAACACCTTCAGAGTGAACCAGATACGGAGGTACTCTCATTGTTGATGCAAGTTTAACACCAGCAGCTTTGTGACTTTGGTAATAATCATGTGACTGCTGAGTCAGCATTTACATTGTTGTTTTCCTGGTAAAATTAATTCTGTTTTTTATTTTTTGCAATTACACTACTTTAGCACAGGTGATTCTATAATCTGACTCCATTGCTGACAAAGGCTCTTGGCTTGAACAACATGGTGGCTATTGGCATCAGAAGCATTTGTAATATGGGGGGACACATTGGGAGGTGTGTGTGTGTGGGTGGGGGGGTTCTGGGAATCCTCCCCCAGAAAATTTTGAATAAAGTAGATGCCATTTCTTGCATTCTGGTATATTTTTATGAGTTTTTAAACATCTACGTTTACCTACATAAGTAAACACTTGATTCAATAACTATTTTAGAGAGCATGACGCAACAAGAAGTAGCCTGACCAACAGCTCTTCTTGTGTGAATAAAGCACGGTCCACTTCTCTCACGCATCCTAACCCCCCCACCCCCAGCTCCTGCCAGTAAGGGGCGTTTCACTTCTGGACAAATTGAGGTTGCTGACTGGTCCGTTTGCTGACGAGCCTACTGGATTGATTGACAGGTGGCATCAATGATCCGACTTGTGCAAAAAAAATAAAAAAATCAGATTTACTGGCCCATTTAAGTGTCATCATTTATTCCATACTTAATTGAAATGTATTCAATATTTTGGTGACTCTAAGGTTTGAGAACTTACAAAATTGTAATGATGGTTTCTTAATTTTTCAGGGGGCTAAGTTAAAATTTTGGGATGCTTGAGCACCCCTAAAAAGAGGCTAAAATCGCTACTGCTTTAGCATACCAAAACATTTTGCTCAACTAGGAAAGGAATACGTGCTATGACTTTTAATATTTGTAACATTTATACTTTTTGGATTATTTAACTTTATTACAAGAATTATAGAAATACAATGAAATATCTTAATTCATTTCAAAAACATTTTCTGTAATCCGCTTCAGCACTCTTGGTTTATTTTGTCTGCTTATGTTCCTTTCAGCTTTAGGCACTATTTTTCTAATTTTTGTTAGCGATTATTTTGCTATCTTTAGCTTTTAGCTACCTTGTTTTGTTGTTGCCAATTTTAGCTATTGACAATCCATTCGTCCATCCATTTCCGAGTTGCGGGGGAGCTGGTTCCAATCTCCAGCTGCCATTGTGTGAGAGGCGGGGTACACCCTGGACAGGATGCAAGTGCACCACAGGGACACATATGGCATTTTTGCATTGTAAGACCTGGCCCAGATTCAAAGATCAAACCCTGATTCTGTGTATTTACATTTGGCATTATGGCCCACTTCAGGGTGAGGTAGTCATGTCACAGATAAGTCATCCCCCCAGAGACCACTCATTCCCTACACTAGTGTGTTGCTGTTGAGAGAGAGCTCTGTTTTTATTTATTTATTTATTTAGCTTTAAGTATAGACTCCCAAAACATTTTGTTACCCTGGACAAATGAATAGGTGAGTGTGTTCCTCTGAATTTGTCTCAAATAATATGATATCACATGTTTCTGGTATGATGATCCCCGCACACATCGAGGCACTCTGCTCAAAGAAAACACAAACATGGCCGGGGTAGAATAAGAGCAGGCCAACTTTGGCCAGGCCGGGCCTTACGATGCAAAAAATGCCTATAGAGACAACCAACCAGTCTCATACTCACCCACACTTAGGGAAGATTAGTCCCCAGTTAACCTAATATGCATGTTTTTAGTCTGTGGGAGGAAACCGAAGTACTCGGAGCATGCAAAGAGAGAACATGCAAACTCCACCCAGAAAGGCTGGGAACTGAACTTGCAACCTTTTTACAGTGGCTCCACCATGTCACCCAGCTACTGGCATATAAGTTGCTTATTTTTGCTTTTACCTACATTTTTGCTAGTTGTAACACATAGCTACAGTTTTTCACATTTATATTTTAGCTATGGTTTTGTTAATTTTAGCTCTGAGCAACAGTTTTGCTCATTTTCAGACTTATGTTACTGCTTTGCTTACTTGATCTGCTTTTCTTGTTATTTTAACATTTCAGTTAACAATTCTACCTTCAACAAATTTCAGCAACACTCAGCACTCACACTGCTTTTTCACAAAAAAATGCAATTCATCATGTTCTCTCCTGGTTTATTGTCCGGGTCACATGCTTCTCACAACAAAACAACCTATTTTTAACAATTTTATATTATAACTCTTCAAAGCTTTTTTCTAAGCTTCTTCACCTCCTCCTCTTTTCTGATTGTGTTAAAGATCTTGACATCCAGCGGTGATGGAACCTGCGCATTATGGGATGTTGAGAGTGGGCAGCTGCTGCAGAGCTTCCATGGACACGCTGCAGATGTGCTCTGTCTGGACCTCGCTCCATCCGAGACTGGAAACACGTTTGTTTCAGGGGTGAGGATACACTCTCCGTGCAGCTGTCTGTGCAACTTATTTAAACGTCTAAAGGATTTTAAAAATTTTTATTTTTTGTTTGCTACATTCTCATTTATTATCACCCCGCAGGGCTGTGATAAGAAGGCTAATGTGTGGGACATGCGTTCAGGGCAGTGCATTCAGTCTTTTGAAACTCATGAATCTGACATAAATAGTGTGCGGTAAGTTCATGTTTGAATTTAAGAGTTCAAAACAAGTGAATTTGCGTATCATTAAGTGGGAAAAAACATATTCAACTGTTACATGCTTATTATATAATTCAAATAATTATTCAAAATAAAAGTTTTCCATTTGTTTCTTTTAATCTGATCATCTTCTTTTTTTCTATGACAAGAAATCATTCAGAGTCGAAGTGGCTTCAATAAAGCAGTTTGTGTTTATTTATAAATTGTCCACTTTTTTCAATAGATACTATCCAAGTGGAGATGCTTTTGCATCTGGATCAGACGATGCTACAGTAAGCGCTCTAAAAAGCAGTTACACGCCTCAGAAAAAGGGTTTAAATTGCACTCAAACTATTTTAAATTGATGTTAAGTATAAATCACACTCTTGTTTCAGTGTCGTCTGTATGACTTAAGGGCAGACAGAGAAGTGGCTATTTATTCCAAAGACAGCATCATATTTGGGGTCTCCAGCGTTGATTTCTCCCTCAGTGGTATGCATATGTTTTTGACTATTATTATAAACATTAAAGTTCATGAAAATGTTGCTCTTTCCTACTTTAAAAAAACAAACTTTTTTGTTTTTGTGTTTGTTTTCTTAGGTCGGTTACTGTTTGGTGGCTATAACGACTACACCATAAATGTGTGGGATGTTCTCAAAGGAACACGGGTCTCCATTCTGTTTGGACATGAGAACCGTGTCAGCACACTGCGTGTCTCCCCTGATGGGACGGCCTTCTGCACAGGATCTTGGGACCACACTCTGAGGGTATGAGGTCTTTGTATTTCTTTCTATAACACAGCTGACAACAGTGCATGCTTCCATGACTCTTAAGGTGATAAATGCTATTTCTTTTTTCTTTCTTGTTTTCAGATCTGGGCCTAAGCAGCAAGCCAGGATTAGTTTAGTGGACTCATCTACTGAAGGCACACAGACGTTTCTGTTTGCTAGAGTACAATCACAGAGATAGAAACTCAGTTTTGGTTGTAGATAGTACATATCAATAGCACTGTATATACTCCAGTCAGGTCAGTATAGATTTAAATATTTTAAAGAGTAAATAAACCAAAAGGCACGCTTGCATTACAGTATGACCGAAATGAGAAAAAAAAAAAAAAGCACAGAAATACTTATCATAGCTCATGATATTTAAAATTATATTGAAAAAAATATTAATGGTAGTGACTTGCATTGGTCTAGGGTAGACGTGGCATAAAAAGTCATGTATTGTATGTGCCCACATAAAGGACATTATTTGTTTTCTTCACGAGTGATAAAAATAATTAACGCAGTCTGAAGAGAAAAACCAAATAAAGCAAATATGGCTCTTAGGATAGGTGCAAGGGGGTTTCATTGGGAGGATAACAGTAAATGTTGCTAGAAATACACATTAAAATAATAATTAATCAGTCCCAAGCCTATTTAGGGAACTGGGCACGAGAAAGAACAGTTAAGAATAAACAAAACTGCATTTTTATATCATTTTATTATTATTGTATATTTATTATATTATAAGTTAAAAAAAAGATACAAATCTTCTCTATTTCCAACAGCAGCTCGCCTGCTAAGATTATACTAAAGTAAACAAACATTAACAGGTTGATTTTATTTTACTTTCTTATCGGTGGTCTTGTTTTTTTAATTTCTCAGTTGTGAAAAACACCACCTAATTTTTGAGCATTCAGTCACATTAGATATTTTATTTTTTGCAGTTTCAATGAAGAAAGAATATGGGAATGTACTTCCTCCTTTGCAGCTGTAAGGCTGTAATTTAATTTTGACTTTAATTATTTTATTGTAGTTTAGTGTACAGATATACAACGGACTGTTATTCAGAATATTCCAAACATAATAAACCGAGTTTTGAGTATTACTAGTGTTTGTGTCGTTCTTGGTCTGTGATTTTCATGTTGACGCTGAATGACTGTTCCTGTTGAAGATTTCAATAAAGTTTTTTAAGATAAGCGGAAGTGACATCATCAAAACGCTCTGCCATTCAAAAATAATGGCCGATCTCTTGTGCTGTTTGTTTTTTTTTTACTTAAAAAAGCCGTCCTAAATGTCGAACAGGAGATTTTGTAATAGAGTGCCATTGTTTATAGATAGGCAATTAAAAAATTGTAGGTTTTACGGGTAAAGGTCACTCGGAAATTGTGTTTTTTTTTTGTTTCCAAAATGAGCGATGTTGTGGAGAAGACGCTGACTGCTCTGCCAAGCCTCCTCTCGTTGGACTCTCAACCTGGTTCTGCAAAACTGTCCACTCACTCCAAACTAGGAAATCTCATCAGAGGAATTACTGAGCTGACGTCCAAACATGTAAGTGTGTCCTGCAAGGCTTGTAAAAACGCATTTCGTGTTAGTTTGCCGAACCACCTTTTGCTGACATAAAAAAAAAGGTTCGTCAAACTGGGTCGAGCCTGGCTAAATTAAAATGTATAATGGACTGATTCAATGACAACTTCCAGTTGAAGCTTTATTTTCTAGTGTTGTCATTTTAGATAAGCGAAGCTGAAGCTTTTAAAATGCTTGTTTGCTGTGGTGCGTTCAGGTGCTATTGTGTAGCTCAGACATTTGAACATTCATAGATTTGCAAACCTATTAACTTTTTTTCATTCATTCAACCTTTATTTTAACTTGACAATAATATTAAAATGATCGATACCGAACTAACAACTACCGGTAACTAATTAACTGTGAGCCTAACTAACCAACAATACTCCAAAACTTTCAAAAAGCATGATGTTGGAAAATTCATTCAATCTAGTTCAGAGTTTTTAAAGTTACTCTGAAGAAATTGTCTTATTAAAACAGTTTGCCACAGTCATCCTCATTATTCCTGTTTCTAATTTGACAGCGTTAAAAAAGTGCTGTGTTGTCATCATTGTATGTTTCCACACAATGACGAAAATAGTTCTCTGCATTTAAACCCACCATGCTTCATATACACCATGGTGTAGCAGTGGGCAGTTATGTAAGCCTGTATGTTACCACATGTGTACTGCCCAATATGCCACTTCTTTACAGAACCACAGTTACAAGAAAGTAACTCTTTCATCCTGTATCCAGTGCCATTTCAAAGTTTAGTCGCACCTTATTTATAACTGGACCGGTCCAATTCTGATACATAAAGACATAAACAAATTGTAAGGAAAGCCTTAGCCTTCCTCACCTGCTTTTGAATTACTCGTGAATTTTCTGTCTCAACTTTCTAAAAGTAGTATCTTTTAATAAATATTTTTTCTGATTGTGATCTTAGACATTTAGGCTGAAATATGTACTTTAACCTATTATGATTAATGACAAAAAGCAAAACAATGCAGTTTCCATTCTTTCCCCCGTTTTTTTTAATATTTCACAACAGGAGGAGGAAAAACTTATTCAGCGTGAGCTGTCGTCAATCAAAGAACAAGTTTCCTCTCCAAGCACCACCATGGTACTATTCTTCTAGTGTTCTCATATTTTGTTCCTTTAAAAATAATATTAATATTCTTTGTTAATATGTTGACTTCATGTTGATAAATCTGATTCAGAGGCAGATGAAGGAACTCATGGTGAGATCAATCTATTGTGAAATGTTGGGCTACGAGGCTTCGTTTAGCTATATTCACGCCATTAAACTAGCGCAGCAAGGCAACGTCCTGGAGAAGAGAGTTGGTATGTTATTTTATTTCTCTCCTCATTTTAATGTATGAAGAAACTCTTGAGTCTTAAACCCATCTATGACTTATCAGACATCTACTAGGAATTTCCATTTGCAAATTTAAAATTTCAAGACGTTAGTGAACAGACCTATTTTGAATTTTCTGATCCAATTCTACGACATTACAAGTTTGTTGGTATACCAAAGTGTCTCCATTTTAAGTTTGCTTTGTGACGTTTTCCTCTTTAGGTTACCTTGCTGTTTCCTTGTTTTTGAATGAAAGTCACGAGCTGCTGCTTCTCCTGGTAAACACAGTGTTAAAGGTGGGTGCTTTGTTTTCACCTCTGTCATGATGGTTTTCATTTTGACTTGTCAAGTTATGTTTTACAAAAAAAAGTATGGTGTGTTTTTTTTTTTTTAGTTGTAATAAGACAAGTCATTTTGTTTAGTGCGGTTTTCGTCCTGGTCGTGGAACACTGGACCAGCTCTACACTCTCAACAGGGTCCTGGAGTGTGCGTGGAAGTTTTCCCAACCGGTATACATGTGCTTTGTGGACTTGGAGAAGGCGTTCGACCACGTCCCTCGGGGAACCCTGTGGGGGGTACTCTGGGAGTATGGGGTACTTGATACGGGCTGTTAGGTCCCTGTATGACCGGTGTCAGAGCCTGGTCCGTATCGCCGGCAGTAAGTCGGGCTTGTTCCCGGTGAGAGTTGGACTCCGCCACGGTTGCCCTTTGTCACAGATTCTGTTCATAACTTTTATGGACAGAATTTCTAGGCGCAGCCAAGGTGTTGAGGGGATCCATTTTGGTGGCCTTAGGATCGCGTCTCTGCTTTTTGCAGACGATGTGGTCCTATTGGCTTCATCAGGTCGTGATCTACAGCTTTCTGGAGCGGTTCGCAGCCGAATGCGACGCGGCCGGGATGAGGATCAGTTCCTCCAAATCCGAGGCCATGGTCTTGAGCCGGAAAAGGGTAGAGTGCCATCTCCGGGTCAGGGAGGAGGTCCTGCCCCAAGTGGAGGAGTTCAAGTATCTTGGGGTCTTGTTCACGAATGAGGGAAAATGGAGCGTGAGATCGATAGGCGGATAGGTGCAGCGTCTGCAGTGAAGCGGTCGCTGTACAGGTCTGTCGTGGTGAAGAGAGAGCTGAGTCAAAAGGCGAAGCTCTCAATTTTCTGATCGATCTACGTTCCTACCCTCATCTATGGTCACGAGCTTTGGGTTGTGATCGAAAGAACGAGATCTCGGATACAAGCGGACGAAATGAGTTTTCTCTGCAGGGTGTCTGGGCTCTCCCTTAGAGATAGGGTGAGAAGCTCGATCATCCAGGAGAGACTCAGAGTAGAGCCGCTGCTTCTGCACATCGAGAGGAGCCAGTTGAGGTGGCTCGGGCATCTGGTTAGGATGCCTCCTGGACGCCTCCCTGGTGAGGTGTTCTGGACACGTCCCACCGGGAGGAGACCCAGAGGAAGACCCAGGACATGCTCGAGGGACTATGTTTCTCGGCTGGCCTGGGAACGCCTCGGGATTCCCCCGGAGGAGCTGGACCAAGTGGCTGGGGAGAGGGAAGTCTGGGCCTCCCTACTTAGGCTGCTACCCCCGCGACCCGACCCCGAATAAGCGGAAGAAAATGGATGGATGGATTTTGTTTAAAGCCAAAAATGCCCCTAATGGATCTGGGCTGTTGGGCTTTTCACATAATTTAGTGATGTTTGTCAGTAGAAGCTAATGTAAATGTAGTTGTATTAATGTCAGATGTAAAGTCTTTTGAAATGACTTGTTGGGGACTTTAACTCTCCTTCGTGATGATTATATTAAAAATTGATCAAAGTAATAATTTAGTTTCTTTAAGCTCGAAGAAGAGCTGTAATGATTCTTCAACTCAAATAAGGTTGATCAGGTTGTCGTGACACATTGGTTACGTATGATGCTGACGTATTTATTATTTGTAGGATCTTCAGAGTACAAACCTTATTGAAGTGTGCATGGCTCTCACAGTTGTCAGCCAGATGTTTCCCAAAGACATGATCCCTGCAATCCTCCCTTTGGTGGAGGAAAAGCTCAATCACTCCAAGTAAGACATGTTTGTTGCCTTTTCAGATCAATTATTTTCCTGCTGTTGTTAAGTGTACTATAAAGAAACTGTTTGAATCCTATGGTTGATGAGCGTTTGTCACAAATTTGTAGAGAAATAATTAGACGAAAAGCTGTCCTGGCACTTTATAAGTTCTACCTGATAGCACCAAATCAAGTTCAGCATATTCACAACAAGTTTCGTAAAGCTCTATGTGACAAAGACCCTGGTGTGATGTCAGCTTCACTGCACATCTTCTTACAGTTGATCCAGGTAACTTTTCCTTTAAATCTACTAGTCTTTATTAGTGTATAACAGTTTAGTAAATATATTGGATCCACCGTGGTGCACTCTGCTTGTGCTAAAAATGTTTTATCTTTGTTTCAGGAGAATTCAGAAGCTTATAAGGACTTGACAGCAAGTTTTGTCACCATCCTGAAGCAAGTTGTGGCAGGCAAGCTGCCCATGGACTTTAACTATCACTGTGTTCCTGCTCCCTGGCTTCAAATTCATCTTCTCAGAATACTTTCTTTACTTGGAAAAAATGACCAGAGGTAGAGATTTCTTGCTCCATCTTTGAACTGGCTTGATGCCCCTGACATCTCCTCAATCTCTTAAAATATATATTTTTTTCTCACAGCACAAGTGAGATCATGTATGAAATCCTTGATGAGTCATTGCAAAGAGCAGAGATGAACCACAACATCACATATGGTATATTTATTACCTTTAACAAACTTATTGTTTGGAAGTAATTTGACACATTTGCTCATCTCTCTCATCTCTTTCAATTTCCAGCAATTTTATATGAGTGTGTAAGATGCATTTACACGATTCATCCTAAATCTGACCTTTTGGAAAAAGCTGCAAAGTGCATTGGCAACTTTGTTATGTCTCCGAGGATAAATCTAAAATATCTTGGTAAGAACCCAAAAAGAAAGTATAACTTAACATGAATCATTTTTTCTCCATTAAAAAATGTTTCTAATGTTGCTGTAGGCCTGAAGGCTCTCACCTATGTGGTCCAACAGGATCCAAAACTAGTCCTGCAGCATCAGATGACCATCATTGAGTGTCTTGATCATCCGGATCTTATTATAAAACGGGAGGTGGGTCAAATGGAGGTGTAGGCTTAAGTTGTCATTGATTAGATGTTTTACAGCATCATAAAAGTTTTGTTATTGTTTCCTTGCAGACGTTGGAGTTGCTCTTTCGTATCACAAATGCCCAGAATGTCACAGTGATAGTGGAGAAGATGCTGGATTTTCTACGCGTCAGTAAAGATGATCACACCACCATAGACTTGGTGGGAAAGGTGGCAGAACTGGCAGAAAAATATCCTTACAAATGTGAAGGTGCTCCTGTGTATAATGTAGCGCTAAAAGTGGAGATCTGCATTTGGCGCTATGTTGCTGCCGGTAATTGTCGTTTGGGGAGCGCGGGGGGGGTACATCAGTAGCATTTTTGCTAGCATGCGTATATTATTGCACCCCGTGCTACATCAATACCGACAGTTGTTGATGAGGGTGGGGGGGTCAGTTCTATTTAATGGTAGGGGAGACACAGCTTGAACTCCTCCCCTTGAGGCAGAACCTCACCCTTGACCCAAAGAGAGCTGTGGGGACCAAACTTTTCCTTTGTGGCTCGATCACCACAGGTGATGAGTTGACAGCTGTTTTGACGCGTGCCCAATAAGTGTTCTTTAATCAGTTCCTTTTGTAAAACAAAGTGTCATTTATCTTCTGTATTTTTACAAAGTCCATGCATTACTTGCCTCCATTTCAAGTTTCCATATTTCATAGATGATGCAAAAATGTTCCAATCACACTTCTTGCACTTCCATTAACTTTCTAACACAGCTTGCACTTTAAACACTACACGCTACATGTTACATGGTCAAAAAACTGTTTGCCTCTGTCCTGTCTCATCAGCCTTGCGCACCTTTGCACCTGGCTTTTATGGGTGTGGAGACAATGACAGGTAGCATATTCCTCCCTCTAGTGTTTAACAAATGAAATAACACCAACAACATAAAATGGCTCTAACAAGAACAATCCACCTTTTTCCAGTTGAGGACCATGACCTCAGATTTGGAGGTGCTGATCCTCATCCCAGCCGCTTCACACTCGGCTGTGAACCACTCCAGTGAGAGCTGAAGATCACGGCATGATGACGCCAACAGGACCACATCATCTGCAAAGAGCAGAGATGGAATCCTGAGGCCACCGAACCGACTCCCTCCACTCCCTGGCTGCACCGAGAAATTCTGTCCATAAAAGTTATGAACAGAATCAGTGACAACAGGTGGAGTCCAACTCCCACCATAAAAGGGTTTGACTTACTGCCAGCAATGTGAATCCAACCCTCACACTGCTTGTATAGGGACCAAACAGCCCATAGCAATGGGCTCCAAATCCCAAACCTGGAGCACCCCCCACAGTGTACCCTGAGGAACACAGTCAAAAGCCTTCTCAAGTCCGCAAAACACATGTAGACTGGATGGGCAAACTCTCATGACCCCTCGAGGACCCTAGTGAGGGTAAAGAGCTGGTCCAGTGTTCCACGGCCAGGACGGAACCCGCATTGTTCCTCCTGGATCTGAGGTTCGACCAACGATTGGACTCTCTTCTCCAGTGCCCCTGAATAGACGTTACCAGGGAGGCTAAGGAGAGTGATGCCTCTATAATTGGAACACACCCTCCGCAGTGTTTCCCCTACCATTATACAAGTGGGGTGCTCCACCCCGTCAACAGAACTGAGCACCCCGCCTACCAAACCAAATTGCACCCCCACCCTCCCACCCGGCACTGACATAGCACTAAGCTAGTGGTGCGAAATACAGGCTCTCTAGCTAAAAAGCTAAAGGCAGCACTCGCATAGCTTTTTCCCTCATGCTGAATGTCCCCCCGTCCCCACTCAAAAACTGTTGGCATAATCTGCGCTCAGACATGTGTTCGTCCCCCCCGTCATCAAAAATCATGGATGAGATGAGCACCCCGCCTTGGCAAGTTAACTAGGGGAAACACTGCTCCGGTCCCCCTTTTTGTAGAGGGGAACCACCACCCAGTCTGCCATTCCAGTGGCACTGCCCCCCCCGATGTCCACGTGACGTTGCAAAGACGTGTCAACCAAGACAGCCCCACAACATCCAGAGCCTTTAGGAAATCAGGGTGAAGCTCATCCACCCCCTGAGTCCTGCCGCTGCAGAGCTTTTTAACTACCCCGGCGACCTCAGCCACGGTTATGGACAGACCAACCCTGGTCTCCCAAGTCAGCTTCCTCCATGGAAGAATTCCTCCATGCTGCAACTTGAAGTGGTTTAGATCTCAGCAAGCTGCAGCTAAAGCTCAGATTCTCCTAACGTTAATGTTAAAGTTTTAACATTTACTGTAAAACAAAGTCTCCCTTAGCACATAAACTTAACAGCCTTTTTGCTAGCAATCATTTCTGCTTGTTTTATATCTTGTTTTGTGTCTCTTCATCACCCTTTACTATTGTTTCTTACTTAATAAGGTCGTTTCAAAACTTGTTTTAATGATTATTGAGCATGCATCAGGATATTGTTTTAATGATATTTTGTGTATTTGGCATGATTCTACTTTGTTCTAGTTGTTTTGTGTTGCCGTTGTTGCAGTTTGATCTCTGTGGTCATATTTTTGTCTTTGCATTTACAGCTGTAGTTCGTCACATTTGGCTTGTTTTGATTCAGGTCTTTTGGGATAATTATCCTAAAAAAATCTCCACAAAAAACTTGACCCCCGACCTCTGTAACCCTCTGTCTACTTCAAATCCGTTTGTGAGCTCAACTGAGCTCTCGGATAAAAAGCAGGACTCAACCTTTTTGACAGCATCCTGTTGCCACGTTTTTTTTTTGCATTTTGTTTACTTCATTTTTTCCTATATATTTTCATACATATGCACCAGACAATGAATGGTTTATTGAGACCATGAACACAGTGTTTTCAGTTGGTGGAGACATGATGCAGCCAGACATACCAAACAGTTTCCTTAAACTGTTATTGGAGGGTGAGTTGATTACAAACTCAACTTACTCTGTTCACTAATTTTATGCTGCAATTCTCTATTTATGTAACCACTTACAAACCCTGAATTAAGTATTATTTTTGTGTTGTCAAGGATTTGACAGTGTGGAGGAGGACAAGAAGTTGAGGCTCTTTGCTGTGAATTCCTACGTTTCTCTGCTGCAAGGAGAGCCCAACAAACTGCCACAGCGCTTCCTTCAAGTCATCTGCTGGGTGAGTGTTTTCAGCACATTCACAGGAGCAGTTCTTATTGTCAGTCAGTATAAAAGCAGAAAAGAGGACATTGTATTTTTAATAAGCATGTTTAAAGCATTTAATACCCTTAAAAATATGAAATTTGCTTTAAGAGTGAAGAGGAATCTTATAAACCCATTTTTAGTTAAAACAGAGCATCATAAACATCAGTCTTTAAGAAATTATATCATTTTTAGGAAAACATAAAATAATTAAAAAAAATTTATATAAACTGTAGATAGTGGAAAATTCAAAGTCCCATTTTTATTTTTAAATTAAAGGATATTCTGAAATTTTCACTATTTTTAGATGCAGTTTTTTGCAGAGTGCTGAACCTCTGCCCATCTTTACCTCTGAGAGATGCAGTCTATCTAAATTGCTCTTTTTATACCCAGTCTGTTGCCAATAAACCAGATTCATTGCAAAATACTAGAGTATTTTACTTATTAGTACTAATTACTTTTTTGTTGCCCTCGTTCCAACTATTTTAAAATTTGCTGCCATCGAATTCAAAATTGTTTTTTTTTTTTTAAACTTGTACAACTTTTAATTTAAACATTTAGTATGCTTACTATGTTTTACTGTGAATAAAATATGGGTTGATGAGATTTATAAATCATTACATTTTATTTTCATTTACATTTTACACGTCTAACATTTTCTGATTTGAGGTTGTAATTTGTACAGACAAAAGTATTAAATGATAAACGGACTGTACTTATATAGCACCTTTCTATCTAATCAAGATATTCAAAGTGCTTTACAAAACAATCTGTGCCCTCATTTACCTCCACACACACATTCATACAGCACTCTACTACACCTCCACAAAGGTAGAATAATCGGGGCTTTAGATCACATTCATACACTGATGGGACACACATCGGAGACATTGAGGGGTTCAGTGTCTTTCCCAGGGACACTTCAACATGTGACTCCTAGTGGAATCGAACCCCCAGCTCTCCCATTGGAGGACAATCGCTCTAACCACTCAGCCACAGTCGCCCCAACAGCTGATAACACTTTAGTTATCTAGTACTTGTTCTTTAAGTTAACGTTTTGGTTTGATGTGTTCAGGTACTCGGAGAGTACTCTCATTTGAGCAAGGATGTTGAGCCTGACGTCCTCCTGAGACTGCTGGTCAAACTGTTGGACACGAAGAGCTGCAGCAATGAAACCAAGACCTGGGTCCTCATGGCGATGACCAAGCTCTGTTCAGGTGGAGCAGCTCTCTCTGTGGCTCATGAGGTTTCTGAAATGTATGGCAGCTCCATGGACACTGTGCTGAGACAAAGAGTGCAGGAGCTGCAGCACCTCAGCCAAGACGCTCAACTACAAACCAGGGTGTTACCTCAGTGTGCCAGCCACAAGCCTGTAGAGGTAACACACACGATGGGCTGCAGGTCTGCTGTAAATATGTCTAAAAGGACTGTGTTAATGGTTTTAATTGTGTTTACGTTAAAGTTAGTGTTCTGGCAAAACCGAATATTTTAAATATTCACATATTGACGTGCCGTTTGTCCACTCGTGTTTGTTAATCTGCGTAAACACGTCCTCTTCTGAGGCTGGGTTTTATCACAGGACTGCATTCAGTGTTGTTTGTAGGTTTTAGCAAATTACAGAGCATAATATTTTATCAATCAACCTTTATTTATACAGGTAAATCCCATTGAGCCTCGGGGACTCAAAGAAAGATGACAACAATGGACAACAGCAACAACAATAAACAGTTATAAAAAGTCATACTCCAGTTTTTTTTTTTTTTTTTAACAAATAGGATAGCTAAAAGGAAAAGGTAACAAAACAAAAAACAGCTAGATTCCAAGACAAATGTAGAAAACTAAAAAAAGGGAAGTTGTGTTGCAGAAGTTAGAGATGGCAAGCCTGTGATCAGGAGGTCAAAGGTTCAATTCACCAAACTTTACAACAAAATTTGGGTGGGAAAGATGAAGCATTTGTCTCCACCCTCATTTGTCCCACTGTGGACCCTTGATCAAGGCCCCTTACCCCACTAGCTGCTCCCTGAGCACTTAGATGGCAACCCTCTGCTCCACACATGGGTTACGTTAGAACAGTGGTCTGTGGTTTCATCCGGCTTAAAACAATTGCCAGATCTTCATGTGAATTTGCTCTCTGTGGTGATCCCTGAGGAAGGGAGCAGCTGAAAGAAAAATAATAGTTGGAGTAGTTCTGCTGACGTGTACTGCAGAGTCGATATCACCGGGTGGAGTATGAAGAATATAACAAATGCCGGTGGAAGTACAGTAGTGAAGACTTCAAACAATGTATTTGCCTGGTTAGTTTGAGATTAATGTTCGTGCAGTTTTTGTCTCTTGTAACTAAACAAAAGGTGAAAATAAAGCAGACAACATTTACAATGGAGCAGTTTTGCTGTACTCTTCCAGTTTCGTGTCAAGTTTTAATTGTAGCTGTAATTGTGTTGGTTTCCAGGTGGATTCCTCGCTGTCATTTCTGGATGGATTTGTGTCGGAGGCGTTGGCTGCAGGCGCCGCTCCTTACAAGCCTCCCCATCAAAGGCAGGAGGAATTGTCTCGATCAAAAGGTAGAATGTATTCAGATCTTTTGTCCGAGTGGTTTTTTTTTTTACCGTGTTTGTTTGTTCTGATTGTGTTGTGGTTCTCAGCCCTGAGTTTGGAGCCGTACGGCTTGTCCCTGCCCATCAGCATGTCCTCCTGCAGCGTCACAGACAGACAGTCTCCCACCCTGTTGTCCATGAGCTCCGGTCTGTCAGGTGACAGCACTGAGCTCTCACACAAAGGCAGGTATGTTGACTTGACAGGAACACGTCGGCTGGAAGATTTACATCTGTTTTATCTTCTTGGCCTCGCACTGAGTCCCTGTTTGTGATCCAGCTCCACAACTTTGAAGCTGGATGGTGTGAAGAGGGTGTGGGGGAGAGAAGGTTATCTGGCCCAGAAAGAACCTGCAGAGGAAGCTGCTCAGGTCGAGGCCTCCAGTCCACTCCAGTCCTCCAGTCAGAAAGCTGACGAGGACAGCTCTCACAGCCAGACTCCAACACAAACACCTGACAGTGAACACGAGAAACAGCAGCTGGCATCCTCTCTTTTTGTCGGGCTGGCCTCCCAGAGCTCTGGATCTGTGGTGAGTTTATAATATTTTACGTATGTTTATAAAATGAGATGAGATAAACATTGTCAGGCCTTCTATTGGCAGCAGGAAGTTATTTACTGTGAAGTAACTTCATTTACAAGGCACAAACGAATCTGATGAAATAGTCCAACAGCCTTGAAACTTTACAATTCTTATAGAGTTTACTGTTAGCATTTTATTTTGCCTTAATATACAGTAATAATATAATAGTAATAATAAAATGTTATCATTCCTACACAGCGTTGGAAATTTGAGACACTGCGGTAGGTCAGTGGTCAGATTAGTTTAGACGGTGGAGTCTGAACATCACAGCTCAATGTAGAAATGCTTGTTGACACAATTAAAATAATAATATTTAAGACATCGGTAAAAAGGTGTTTGTGCTCATCAGGCTTAGAGTTTTCATTCAGTCGGGCCAAAGTCAGTTTATTTGTTACTTTGTTGAGGTAAAGAAACAACTGAATATATTCAAACTTGTCCAGGTTTTGTTTATTTTCATTATTGATTATTTTGACTTTCACATTTTTGTTTAATATTTTTGGCTTATGATTAATTAGGAATTTAGAAAAAGTCGAACAGTTTTTCAATACCATATTTTTCAGACAATAAGGCGCACTTAAAATCCTTTAATTTGATCAAAAATCGACAGTGAGCCTTTTAATCCGGTGCACCTTATGTAATAATTCTGGTTGTGCTTATTGACCTCGAACTGATTTTATGTGGTACAACTGAAAATGTTGAGTTATTGTGAATGAGTTGAATAAAGTTTGACTTATCTCACCGTTTTGTTTCACTTAATGCGCCTTATAGTCTGAAAAATACGGTAATTTTCTTCAGCCTGTTACTAATCAGCAGTAAAAAACAGTAACATAAGGCAAACATGGGTTACTGAAAAAGATTTCAGTCAATTTCTTTACAAGAGGAAGTAATCCGATAGCCATTTGATGGGGTCTGTTGTGAAATTTTGCGTGTCCTCCATCTTAAATGTTTTTTCAAACCAACAGGGGGGTAAGTCTGAGCAAACGTCCCAGCGATTCAGAAGAAAAGCCAGAAATCAAGACAAACCCTTGTCCTCCAGTGAGCATTTAACCAACCTGCTTGTTTCACCTTCCGGCAGTGCAGATAACTTGTTGCTGGACTCCAACAGCTCCTCAGACCTAATCTCTTCACCTGAACAGACACATGTCCACTCTCTGGACCTCACTGCTGCTAACGGCACCTGCGACGCAGAAGCAGAGCTGCCTGACAGAGACGTGAAGGGACTAAAATCTCCTCTCAGTAGAGATGCATCGGTTCCAGCAGCTGACTTTACTCCACATGAGGATCCCGACAGACGTAAAGACTTGTGTCTCACATCTCATCTTCCAGCTGCACTTTCTGGACTTTCTCATTCAGAAGTCACTCTTGTATGCTCCGATCAAAGCCTGGATCTCTCAGCCTGCCATGTGCAGAAAGACGAGTCCATAGAGTTTGTTGTTTTCATTAAAAACTCCTCAGACTCTGCTGCACACCGGGTTCAAGTGCAAATCAACTGTGAGGAACTGGAGGTAATTTATGTTCTAAATATATTAATATATTGTAATAATCAGTGCCATTTTATCTTTTGTTAAAGATTACAATATGTTCTCATTTCTTTTGAAGGTATCCTGTGTGTGTGACAGTACAGCAGAGGAATTAAAAAGCAACAGTGTAACAGTGTGTCAGTATTTCCTCACTGTGAAGAGGCCCTCGGTTTCTTTTGAGCTCGTTGGGATGGTTTATTACCAGAAGCCTGCTGGGTCGCTTCAAACAGCCCAGTTTTCATACAAACTTCCTCTAACGAGCTTCATCAGGTGAGATACGTTACTGATGCTGGGACTGTGGCCTCTGTGGTGATGAGTTTATAATGTTTTACGTTTGTCTGCAGACCTTTGGCGGTGTCCACAGAGGAGTACGGGACAATGTGGCTGGCCTACTCTCACGACACGAAGCAGAACCTGCCCCTGATGAGCGGCGAGGACGAGCCTCTCACAGCGACTCTGAACGTGCTGAAGACAAAACTTCAGCTTCATGTTGTAGAAATTATCGGTGAGAAGACGTTTGTGTTCTGCTCAAATTTAGTGATGAGTCCTCTCAATTTAGAACAGCGTTGTATTTAGTTAGTTTTGTTGCTTGATACAAGAAACAACACTTCACAAGGTAAAGTGCTCCAATGTTTTGATATCTGGTAATATTTGTATGTGGGTCTAAATTTACAGAGCTGTGTCATGAATTGACACAGTTTTCAAATCTTTAAGACACAAATAAATTAAAAACAATATGTTAACTCCCGGGCAGCACGTGGCGCAACTGGTAGAGCTGCTGCCTCTCAGCGAGCCTTGGTTCAAATCCCGGTCCAGGGGCCTTTCTGGGTGGAGTTTGCATGTTCTCTTCGTGCATGCGTGGGTTTTCTCTGGGTGCTCTAGTTTCCTCCCACAGACCAAAAACATGCATGTTAGGCTGATTGGTAACTCTAAAATTGTCCCTAGGTGTGAATGAGGAAGTGAATGGTTGTTTGTCTCGTTTGTCTCTATGTGTCCCTGTGATGGACTTGCGACCCGTCCAAGGTGTCCCCCGCCCCTTGCACAGTGATTGCTGGACATGGGCACCAGCGACCCCCGTGACCCAAAATGGAATAAACGGGTAAAGATAATGGATGGATGGATGGATGCTAATTCCCCAATGATGATTTTTTTAAACAAATGTCTTATATTTAAAATTGATGCCAGCAGCAATAAAAGAGATGTTACAGGAGGAAGTTTATCACTGTCTTTTAATGCTGGCATCAGCAGATTTAATTTAATTTAATTATTTTAATTAAATTGAGCATTTTGAGGTTTAATTGACCATAACATGAATCTTGATACAGTAGTCTCTCACTACTTCACAGTTCGTTTATTGCGGACTTGCTCTATCGCAGTTTTTCAAAATAAGATTGGACATGACACACTGATTGACGGATGAGCCGCACGATCGGCATGGAAATTTTATTTAAAATAAATTATTTAAAATTATTTAGCACCTGCTGCACATTTGTGTAGCCCACAGCTGCAGAAAAAGCTTCCTCCTGCACCTTTGTGCAGCCCATACTGCAGGATAAACTTCCTGCTGCAGCTGATCAGCTGTTCTTCGAGCAGAGCAGAGAAGTGGGCGTGGCCAAGATCGCTTGCAGGTGGCAAAGAGCAGCAGCAGCGGAGAGCTGAAATCATGACATTCTGTGCTCTTTTAGAGCGTTTAGAGTCTAGAAACATTGTTTAGAATATTGCAAGAGTGTGGGAAGGGTTTAAAATGCCTATATACGTGTGTGTGTGTGTGCGTGCGTGCGTGTGTGTGTGTGTGTGCATGCGTGTGTGTGTGTGTGCGCGTGTGTACTTGTACTACTATTTCTACTTCACGGTTTTTCACTTATTGCGGGTCTTCAGGATATGGATCTCCCGCGATAAATGAGGGACTACTGTATATAAAAAGCAAACGTACTTTGAAACGGTTTTGTGATTTTTATTTTTGTGGGGAGCGGCGCAGTATTTCACATTTATGTACATTTTTGTTTGCAACTATGAGACTTTCCAAAAAGTTGTTTTTAAAAAGGCTATCCTAAATTGCTTAAATCTTTGTTTGCATCATAAACCATGTGTCAGAAAAGAAATAAATACTTCCGTATTTACGTTTACGCAAACACTTGAGCATTTCTAGCCGAATAAGTTGAACCAAAAAATGATTTTGTCACAAACATGTTGATAAAAACTCATATGATGTAATAATTGAGTAAACTAAAACAGTTATAAACACATAACAGTGGCGAGCTATGATCCAATCAGTATTTTGTGAATCTATAACCTGCAGTTTTCTGTCTTTAATCACTGAGTGATTTCTGACATTTTTCTTTCAGGTAAGGAAGGGATTGTAGCTTGCTGCCTCCGCCCGGATCAGCCGTGCCTCGTGCATTGTCGTGTACACGCCGGCATGCTGGCTGTGTGGCTCCGCTCCCCTGTCCCCGACCTGCCTGACTGCCTTCTGTACCACTGTCAGAGAGCTCTGCAGGAGCACTGAGCCTCCTGCTGCCATCACGAGGGACTGACCAACCACTGAGGAGCAATACCACGGACCTGCAGAGCAGGATGGAGCTGAGAGCTGCTGCAGCCAGGATGGTTTCAGCTCTCATACTGTTCAGCCGGGGTTGATTTTTCTATATAAATTATTAGTGTTTTCCATTTATGCACATGGGTTTCTCTTTTGCTGAACTGGTTTCTTCAGAGATTCACAGATTATTTAAAATCATTGAAGGTCAGAGCAGAACCTGAGCTCAGGGCTAAAATAAAGTGTTATAAAATAACACTGCGGTCTTAAAGAGATCAGTCTCGAAGGCTAAAGCTTCTTTTGACAGAGCTGATAACGATACATGTTGTATTTGTAAAGTGCTTTTACTTTTATTAATTTATGTTCTGGTGTTTAAAATCAAGACCCAACAATAAACCAGGGCTAAATCCTCCACACAGTTTGAGCAAAAAGTCAGTTTTATTGTTTGTCAGCCAGAGGAACACTATCATGAAAACATGCAAACAGGCAGTTTAAAAAAAATAATAATAATTATACTATTTGTTTTGATTTACTTTAAACTTATCCTCTGAGTCTCAAATTTGTAAAATGGGAATAATAACGGATTGTTATTAAAAAGGGATTCTATGAATTTATTTTTGTTACATAAGAAGCATTCAGTATGTTGTCCAGATGGATTCTTTTCAAAAAGCTGACCCAGAAATTTATGTAAAACAAAAAGTACTTTTTTTTTTTTAAATCAGAAGATGATCACATTAACACCCTTATGTTGTATGAAAAGCTTATTTGCCTTAAATGTCACAGTGATGCTCTCACGTCTTCCTTAATCTTTGTGTTGCCTTCTGTTTTATAGAATCATCTTCTCACTCATTTTTCTGTCAAATATCAGATTTAAGTGTTCTTGGATTATTTTATTGTTGCATCTGTTCAGTATTCCTATATTTATTGAGTTTGTTTTTTAATTGTGTAATATTTTACAGAAAGACGAGCTCAGTGGACTTCATGTGCTGTTTGACTGCTCTAACGTTTATTTTTGTTACTTTGCCATATTCTGGAACAAGAGTTGGTTTTATTTTTATGTCTGCGCTGATTTAAAGCACAGTGTGACGCCGGTGTCTGTAAACTTCAACTTTAACCTTTTTGCCTTATGTTCTAATGTCGAGGCGAGACGGCATGTTGGATTTGTGCCTGTGGTACAGAGAAGACACTTTGTTTCTTGGAGTGCCTGTCACTACACTAAGATAAATTATGAATAAATTAAACCCATGTGAAATGACCTGATTATTAACACATCATTTAAAGGGAATATTGAAGAGACTGTAGGTACAGACGTGTTAAATTTAAACTTATTGAAGTTCCTTTTTGTACTCTTTAAATAATTGCCAACATGGAACCAATTGTTGAAACTGAAAGAGCTTTGTGCACTTGAAGTAAACAATGATTTAAAAATACTCCCATGTTGATCTGGTGCTCATTTAGAAAGGTCTAATTTGTATTTAAAATCAAAGAAATGATCACAAAGGCAATTCCAAACTGCAACTTAAGGTATGCTTTATGTAGTTATCAGGATAAAACCAACCTAAAGTGTAAGTGGACTACATTCAAGTGGCACAATTAGATGTTTATTTATATACAAGAAGCTTTAACATGAAATGTTATGTATGTTGTAATGAATAATGAGTTGTCATGTTTTGCTTACAGCATTTTTCTAAGGCAGAAAACTACTTGCTCTGATTTTATTAGCTGAAACATTCAATATTAGTACTGCCAGAAAGAAAACATGTTATTGTTAAAGGGATTCTTCAGATCTTGTGGTGCTTTGCGAAAACAATATCAATATCTTACCTGTTGTAGACGTCTCTGAGTAACTTCAGTTTGGAGAAGTAGGGTTTAGTTCTGACTGGACTGAAGAGCTAATGGCTAGTTTGAGTCAAAGTAAAACAGCTGGAACTGGAAACACCCAGGCTGTACTGAAAGTGCTACAGCTGGCTGCTACTGCTATTTGTGCTTTCAAATATAACATTTAAGTACATAATTGGTCGATGCAAAGTTGATGGTTTTGTAAATGTTTATACAATTCATTTGTTTGGCTCTTTCAAAAGACATGGGAAATTCTGAATCGATTTTCAAATGTCTAAAATTAACTTTGTAAACTCTAATCTGTGCTGCTACTTTGAGTCAGCAGAGGTGTTGCTACATGATGTTTGTCCCAGTAGAGTTGCCGTAGCTTTCTGTAGCAGAAGCATGTTGCAGTAAAAGCTGTGTTTACACATTTTTAAATTATTTTTTCACGAAACTCCAAAGAATACGTCTGAAGTTACCATATCATGACTGACTTTAGTAATGACGTCGAACATTTTGATCTGTGTACACATTTCCAGTGATAAACACAGTTCTAATTTCATTAGCTTTATATGGCATTGTTAATGCTAGTTTAACATTTATGCTAACTGTTAGTCCGCAGCCTAGAATTAAAGGGTTTTTGAACATGTGCACTCAATTAATTTACAGCCCTTTGAATTGTAATTAAAACACGAGGTGCCTCAACAGTCCCACTCCTAGCGTTCATCTATCTGGTTTTGGTCTAGCAGCATCATTAGTCTAATCAGAATTAAACTGTTTCTCCAAACTAAGTCAGTTTAAAGAGCTTTCTACAACAGGGAACCCCTCTTTAAAGAGTCAGAAGTATCCCTTTAACTAACCTCTGCAGTAGTGAGGTGCTGTCATCCCAAATGGTAAAATGATTCTCATGTTTCAGAGCAGCTTGAGCTTTGTTCCTGCGCACGAGGGATGAAGCGCATGGTGAGGCTGTGCTCGTCTTCCACGGGCTGCTGCGACAGGTTGTTGGTCTGCCTGATGCTGTCCAGCGTGCAGCCTTGGCGGGGACACACCGTGTAGCGAGACAACAGAGCGATCAAGATGGCCTTCATCATCACCATGGCGATATGTTTGCCAACACAGGAACGAGGCCCGCAGCCAAAGGGCTGGAAGAAGCGACTGGGCACCTGCCAAACAGAGGAAGTAAAGACCTAAGTGTTTCTTTTACTTCAGTCATTGTTTCACAACTTTCACTTACGTGGCTGTCGAAGTTTGTCAGGCTGAACTCTCTGGGTTTAGGGAAGAACTCGGTCTTGTGCATAAGGCCAATGTTGAGAATGATGTTGGTTCCTTTCCTGATGTTTGTGCCGTCGATGTTGTCGTCCTCCAGAGCTTTCCGCATCGTGAAGTCAACCACAGGGTGAAACCTCAGACACTCACAGATGAAACTCTCCATCACTTTTAGTTCTTGGTAATCAATGTCCTCTACAGCTTTCCTATCTGCAGACAAAATGATGCATTATTTTCACATTATGGAGTCTTAACTAGGGCAGCACGATGGCGCAACTGGTAGAGCTGCTGCCTCTCAGCGAGCAGGTCCTTGGTTCAAACCCCGGTCCAGGGGCCTTTCTGGGTGGAGTTTGCATGTTCTCTCTGTGCATGCGTGGGTTTTCTCCGGGTACTCCGGTTTCCTCCCACAGACCAAAAACATGCATGTTAGGCTGATTGGTAACTCTAAATTGTCCCTAGGTGTGAGTGAGAGAGTGAATGGTTGTTTGTCTCGTTTGTCTCTATGTGGCCCTCTGATGGACTTGCGACCCGCCCAGGGTGTACCCCGCCCCTCGCACAGTGATTGCTGGACATGGGCACCAGTGACCCCCGTGACCCAAAATGGAATAAACGGGTAAAGATAATGGATGGATGGATGGATGGAGTCTTAACTACAAATAACACTTGGAATCCCTTGAGGTGCACCGCTATCTTTCATGCCAAAGTTTTAGACTAAGATCATTTTATAAATACGACCAAATTTGTCACCGTTCAGGTCAAAGCTTAATCTTATGTACGTTCTCGTGATATCCCAAGATGTCACACTCAGAGCATGTTCTAGGGATGAGACTGCTACTACCACATTAGATCAATATCTAAAACTGGCTGAGTTACAGCCATTTTTATTTAGCTTAATATCAGCTGTGGCGACCATCTTGAATTGAATTGACTTCTAAAGGTAAATAGTTGTGGACATTCATCCAATGATTACTTTCTGAATGTTTCATTGACATCTGCACAACGGTTCATGAGACATTTTGCTGACAGACTACGAGTGAAAGCGCCATCGCTAAAGGCCATGTTAGGTTTGCACTCACTCAAGGCGGCGTTCATCTCCTCCACTATCTGCAGCTCCACGTCAGGGTTCTGTTTGAGCAGCATCAGCATGAAGAAGAGGCTGATGGACAGCGTGTCCGGAGCGGCGATCACCATCTCCAGCACGCACTGCCTGACGTTGTCTGCTGAGAGCTCCCCGTGGTTCTGGTAGAAAGAAGTAAGACAACAACAGTCAGGCTTGGTGGTTCCTCTGCAAAACAAGAAAATGACCAAAAGACTGACGTGAGCAAAGATGAGCTCCGTGGCGAAGTCCCGATCGTCATCGTCGAGCTTCTCGGCATCGTTAATCATCTTTCTTTTTATTTCAAGCAGGCTCTCCATCTCGTCCTGCAGCTCCTGGCTGTTGGAGATAAAAAGCAACACAAAAAGATGATCCTGAAGGAACATCAGACTGAACGTTGAGTTAGAGTGATGTCTTACGCTGCTCTCTTGTGTTTGTTGTACAACCATCCAATCTTGAAGAAAATATCGGGCTTTATCAGAACCGTCTGCCAGGTCTCAAAGTAGTTGTGGATTTTCATCAGCAGGTCTTTCTCTGAGTCATGAACAACAACAAAGAGAGTCAGGAGCTGCAGGCTTCAGCTCTATGTTCAGGAGTGGGATGAATCTGCAGCTGACCATTGAGGGGCACCCTGAGGAACAGCCTGTTGGAGACGTCCACCACTATGGCTCTCAGGAGACTCAGGGCGTCCACGTGTCCAGAGGGATCGGTCATGCTCTGCAGGTTGTCCAGGTGTTTAGCTGTGGAGCTCACACAGATCCCCACTGTCCTCTGAAGGCCGGGGCCGCTCAGAGCTGCACAGCAATACAAGAAGTCAGGAAAGCTGTTTTTAATTCATGACGTATACCAGGATGTTCTTATTTTAAAGTTCTTGTCTCACCTTTGGAAAAGGATGCCCTCACTTTTTTCCAGAGTGGGATGTCACTGTTGAAAATTATTCCCCTCCCCTCCATCCCAATACACTCGAGGCCTCTTTTGCTTCCGAATCTGGAGGTGTAGTGAGCGCTCCTCAACACGTGGTACACCGCTGACGACCTGCGGGCGAAAGTCTAGCGTTGCATTTGATCTGATCACAGATTTGCTTATAGTTTGATGTAAAACTGAGCCTTACTTGCTCAAAATGAGGGTCTCCTCCCCGTTAATCCATACCCGCACAGTGCTGCCATATTTGTGGTTGTAGTAGTTGCACGCTGTTCCAATCCCGGTCCAAATGAACCTGCTGTAGGAGAGAATCGGACCAAGTCCTGCCAAGAAGGAAGGACCTGAAAAAAAAACATGTTACAATTCAGTTGTCTGTGTAACAGAGGAACTCAAGAGACGTCGATTTAGTAAAGACGAGTAAAAATTTTATTTATTTTTACGTTTTTCATCCATCCATCCATTATCTTTTATCCGCTTCTTCCTTTTCGGGTCGCGGGGGTCACTGGTGCCCATGTCCAGCAATCACTGTGCAAGAGGCGGGGGACACCCTGGACAGGTCTCCAGTCCATCACAGGGACACATAGAGACAAACGAGACAAACAACCATTCACTCTCTCACTCTCAGAGTTACCAGTCAGTCTAACGTGCATGTTTTTGATCAGTGGGAGGAAACTTTAGTACCGGGAGAAAACCCAAGCATGCACAGAGAGAACATGCAAACTCCACCCAGAAAGGCTTCCGGACCGGGATTTGAACCAGGGCAACCTGCTCACTGAGAGGCAACAGCTCTACCAACTGTACCACCATGCTGCCCTATTTTGACATTATCTGAAAGCTAATTTAACATTGTCACTACTTTTAGCTATAACCTTTGGTTTCATTCAGCTTTTGGACACATTTATCTAACCTTTTGCTGATTTTAGCTACCTGCTACTTTACTTTTTTTTTCATTTACTCTTTATTTATACAGGTAGTCTCACTGAGCCATGAGAACTCATTTTCAAGAGAGACATGTTTAGGGAGCAGATGGTGGTTAAGGGCCTTGCTCAAGGGCACAGGGTGGGGCGAATGAGGGTGGGGGCAGGTGTGGGTGCTTCATCTACCCCACTCACATTTTTGATGTTGTTGGTACTGGGGCTTGAACCGGCGATCTTCTGATCACAGACCCACCTTCTCTAACCTCTGGACCACCCTTTTGTTACTTTTGGCCTTTAGCCCGTTTTTGCTACTTTTAGCTTGTGTTTTGCTTCACGGTGGCGCAACTGGTAGAGCTGCTGCCTCTCAGCGAGCAGGTCCTTGGTTCAAACCCCGGTCCAGGGGCCTTTCTGGGTGGAGTTTGTATGTTCTCTCCGTGCATGCATGGGTTTTCTCCGGGTACTCCGGTTTCCTCCCACAGACCAAAAACATGCATGTTAGGCTGATTGGTAACTCTAAATTGTCCCTAGGTGTGAGTGAGAGAGTGAATGGTTGTTTGTCTCGTTTGTCTCTATGTGTCCCTGTGATGGACTTGCGACCCGTCCAGGGTGTACCCCGCCCCTCGCACAGTGATTGCTGGACATGGGCACCGGCGACCCCCGTGACCCAAAATGGAATAAGCGGGTAAAGATAATGGATGGATGGATGGATGGATAATCATTTGCTGCATTTAGCTTTTATGAAGTGTTTTGCTTCTTTATTCGGTTTAGTGTATTTTTGTTTTAGCTTTACTTAGTTTTTGGCGTATTCAAGCAAATGTCAGCAGCTCTCATCATTCATCTGTCAGGGACAGTATGTAGACATGTGCATATGTAGACATATCGTGCATTTTCACAAATTAATGTGATTGCTCTACTTATTCTAATGGCATCAATATAACAGAGTTTTCAGTGATTTGATCACTGCACCCTGTATTCATTGGTTAACTGGACATCATTAACTTCACGCAGACTCTCTCACTGGTACATTTTCATCTTTAAATCACTTCTTGGTCTGCTGCCTTCATACATCTCCTCCTACATGTCTCTGCGTGAGTGCAGCTACGGAGTGCGCTCTCAGGACATTATTACCTGCAGTGTTCCCTCAATGAGGACTGAACTAGGCAAAAGGGCCTTCTCCTACTCCGCTCCTGTTTCCTGGAATATCTTACAAAAAGATCTGAAGCTCTCGACCTTGACCTCTCTAAGTGGCTTTAAGAATCTGTTGGACTCCTGGCAGGGACCAATGCAGACATGTTCCTGTTTTTAGTTTTATACATTTGTCTTGGAATCTAGCTGTTTTTTTTTGTTTTGTTACCTTTTTCCTTTTAGCCATCCTATTTGTTAAAAAAAAAAAAACAAAAAAAAAAAAACTGTAGTATGAGTTTTTA